AAAGAAAAGCATAAACAATGACGAAAAGCATCACCAACAGGTAGGCGATGCAGATGCAGCTGAATGATGGGGACCATGTTCCAGCCACATCAAGTGGAAGAATGTGGCAGTTTCAGCCACGTGGTTCTGGCTTTAGAGTCATGGATACAAGAAAAGGGTTGTGGAATCTCCCTCCATGGCTAAGGAAAACTGCTGAGCCCAGCGTGTGTCAGGGCTGTCCCCGCATGGAGGACTAGGGAAGCGAAGCTGTGAAGATGAAGACTGGATTGTATTGGAGATCCCAAAATGTTAGAGATGCCTGAGTTGTTGGATACCTGCCGAGGAGAGCTGGTAGCAGGGAGTGGAACCAGCCCAAGATTGAGAAGTGTGCTGCAGTCAACAGAGCTGGATGGAGTTCTGTGACGTCAGACATGGAGATGCAGAGTTTGGAGTTTACCTAGCTGGTAATTTGGTTCAGTATTTCCTTATTATGTTCCCTTTCCTCCCTTTTTGAACGGTAATGTATATCCTGTTGTATGTTGCAAATATGTGATCAGCTTTTTTATTTTGACTTACAGTTAAGAGATTGCCACGAGCCTCAGAAAAGACATTGAACTTCGGACTTTTAAGCAGTACTGAGACTGTGATAATCATGGGGACTTCTGAAGTTGGACTGGAAGCATTTCCACACTATGCTATGACTACAAACCTACAGTGGGCTGTGGTAGTTTGAATATGAATGGTCCCCGTTGGCTTGTAGATTTGAATGCTTAGTCATCAGGAAATGACACCATTTGAGGAGGATTAGGAGTGGCCTTGTTGGAGGAAATATGTCACTGGGAGTGGGCTTTGAGGTTCCAAAAGCCCACAAACCTGGCCGGCTCCTTTGGGACCTGGCAGAGTGTGCCACCTCTGTGCCCGGCAGGCAGTACCCTGGCTCAGTGCGCAGGCGCAAAGGTCCCTTTAAGAGGCAAACTCCGCCCATGTCCACTCTCTCTTGCTGTTTCTCCGAGGAAGCAGCTTTCTGTCTGTCTGTCTGTCTGTCTGTCTGTCTGTCTGTCCGTCTGTCTGTCTCTCTCTCTCTCTCTTTCCCTCCCTTTCTCTGCTTTTTCTCTCTCTTCCTTCCCCCAATAAACTTTACACATAAGTTTTATCTGCAGGCCTGTCTGTCTCTCACCCCGTTTGTTCTTCACCTGCTATGGGATCTGCCGAAGGCCGTACCTCATGTTGCAGTCATAACACTTCCTGCCTCCACGCCCCCTGCTGCCATCTTCCCCACTGCAATGATAATAGACTAAGCCCCTGAAATTGTAAGCAAGCCCCATGATATGGGAGGTCCTTCTGGATGCTGTGACTAATGTCGCTTTTATTGGTTGATGAATAAAGCTGTTTCAGTTGATGAATGGGCAGGATTTAGTTAGGGTGGAAATTCGGAACAAAGAGGCAGGGGAAAGAAAGACAAAGGACAGATGCCATGTAGCTGTCAGGAAGGCAGGAAACCCGCCCAGGCATTCTCCGGTAAGATAAGGTCATGTGAAGATACACAGATGAATAGTTATGGGTTAATAATTAAGAGAGAACTATCCAGTAAGAAGCTTAAGCCAATGTCCAAACTATTATAAATAGATATTAAGTCTCAGAGCGATTATTTCATAGCTGCTTTGGGGACCTGATTAGTTGGAGAGAAACCAACCAGTCCATCGGGACTGATACTAGATGGAGAAAATCTCAACAGCCCAATTAAATGTTTTCCTTTATAGGGGCTGCTTTTTATAGCAATAGAACAGTGACTAATACATGTAGGAATACACATTTAAAAATTAGATTAAAGAATTTCATGGAGTATTGGATATTTTGCTTGTATGCTTGTATGTGCCCCGTATGAATGCAGTGCCCATGGAGGCCAGAAGAGGGCCTTGCATTCCCTGGGCCTGGAGTTACAGGACATCCTGAGCATCCACGTGGGTGCCAGGAGCCTAACTCAGGTCCTCTGGAAGAGAAGCCAGTGCTCTTAACTTCTGAGCCATCTTTCCAGCCCAGTCAGCTTCCTGACTGTGGCTGTGATGTGACAGCTTCGTCAAGCAGCCTTGATGTCCCCCCACCCCCCCTATCCCCCACCCCCCCTACCCCCGCCTCCAAGGGCTGATTCTCAAACTCCGAGCCCGAATCAATACTTTCTCCCTTAGATTGCTTTCGTCTGCACATTTTACCACAGAAATGAAAAGAAGCTCCCAGCTTCTCCCCAAGTTCTTCCCATCACAGCACCCTGTCCCTCAGAACAGTGTGTTTGCTACACTGGAAGAGCTCACACAAACATCACTCTCAGCTGAGGGTGGCTTCTCTAGGGTCTACTTTTGGTGTCCCACACTCTATGGATACTGACCAATGTGTAATGATGAATTCTAGCGTTATATCATGAAGAAAAATTTCATTTTCCTAAATATTTTCTGTGGTGATTAGAAAAAAAGACTTGTTTTTATTTGTATGTGTGTGTGTGTGTGTGTGTGTGTGTGTGCGTGCGCGCACGCGCATGTGTGGATGTCTGAGGAGGCCAGAAGAAGGAGTCAGATTCCCCTGCAACTGGAGTTACAGGTGGTTGTCAGTCACCTCACATGAGTATTGGAAATCAAACTCCAGTCCTCTGTAAGAGCAGCAAGCACTCTATTAACTGCTTAAGTCTCATAAGTGTCAACTTTTAAAAGAAATAAAATGTGATTCCAACACTGACTTCAGCTCAGTAATTAGGGTAGGGAAGGAAGGTTGAATTTATACCTAAAGCTTTAGGCTGGGGATGAAGCTTAGTGGTAGGTAGGGCCCTTCATTGCAGGTGCAAAGCTCTGGGTTTGGTTTCCTGCACTGCAAACCAAGCCAAATAAATAATTGAAGTCCCTCCTCCAAACTTCTCGATCTCAGTTCCTCCAGAGGACAAGAGGGCACCTGGCTTTTTCCATTTCTTGCTTTGCCATCTCCATCCTTCAGCTGCTGCAAAGGGGATTCCTAGGGAGTGGAGCAGAGCCAGAAAGACAAGCAAGAGGATGGGTGTTCTGATGGCCCGGGGGTCCCAGCTGGTACTGAGGGTTTGCCAATGAGAGCTGAGGTTTCCTAGATGTGGTGTGCATACGCCTTTCCCGACTGGTTGCTGCTATGGCCTGGACTCAGAGAGGACAGCCTCACTTGGGAAAGTGCCTGGATCAAGTTGACCTGTGAGGATTGCCTTAGCCCTTTCTTGATGTAGGAAAACCTAGTCCATTGTGGGTGGCACCATTCCCTAGGGAGATGTTTCTGAATGGGATAAAAACAGAGAAAGAGCAGAAGACAGGCAATCAATGATGCTTGTGATTGTGAATGTGATGTGAGCCGAGGCTTGAAGACCTGCCTTGACTTCCCCAGAGATATAATGCAACTTAGGAATGTCAGCAAAATAAACCCTTCCTCCCCTGGTTTGCTTTTTGTCAGGGTATTCTAGTACGGAAACAGAAATGAAACCAGAGCATTTCATAGTCAACAAACTGTCAGCACAGCTCTGGTTCCAAACTCCAGACACACGGGCTGTTTTTCTCCCCATTCATTTTACTCCAGGTCCAAGTTTTACACATGTGTTTGGTGGTTGGAGCCCTAAATACCAGAATGTCCTGGAACTCACACTGATTCTCTTGCCTCTGCCTGTCATGGCCAAATGAAGACTGAGAGACATCCAGGGCATTAGGATCCCGACGTCCATATGTGGGAGGGAACTGCTTGAGACTGTTAGGTCACAAGGACTGTGACTTAGTGAGAGGTTTAACACACACACAGCAGGTATTATGTTCCTTCTCCTTTAGTGAAGAGTATGTATGTAAATATTTTAGACATATCCCAGCACTTTGAAACTACTGTAACAAAATACGTAGACTGGTTATTTTATAATAAATTTCTTGAGGCTTACAAGATGGCACCTGTGTTGATTTTCTGTGACTGTAGTAAAATACTTGAGGTGGTTACTGTATAAAGGAAAGAGGTTTATTTAACAAACACATCTGAAGACTCAAACGCACGAATGCTAGTAAAGGCACTTACTAGATGGCACCAAATGTCAGGATTCTGTTATAATCATGTCACTCAACAAGAGCCAGAGAGAGGGCAGGGCGGGAGGGAGGGAAGGAGGAAAGAAAGGAAGAAGGCAGGGAGGGGGCATTGGGACCCCATAAGCACCGTCCAAGGCATGCTTCACTTATCCTAAGGACTCCCATGCCGGCCCCTTAAAGGCTCGGCACTACCTGGGGACTGAGCTTCTGCAAGCCACGGCAGGGCTGAGGGGCAGGCTCTCTCTTGCTCTATTTTACAAGGACGCCAACCTCATTCATGATCACGGAGCCCGTGTAACCCTGCCAACTCTTCAAAGGCACTACCTCCTTTGGAATTAGATTTCATCACATGACCATGGGGGGGTGCAGGTCTTCAGTCCTCCAGCTGGAATCCTAGCACAAGGGGCGCTGCTCTCTCCCCCCCTGTTTATTTATGTACTCCACCGTCTTCCTACACTAACCTGGACTTGTGACTCTGAAGTCTAAAATCAGTTTATTTTATTGCTAATTGCTCCAGCGTGCGTCCCCATTTCTTCTACACGCTTTTTGCAAGTGAGATTTTTGTGTGTGAGATTTTTGCTCGTGATGATTTTGCATTTTTTTTTACTCATGTGTCCCTTCAACGAACACCAGTTGACATGGCCATGAATTCCCCCACTTCCTTTCTCACCCCTAAGTGTTCAATCCCTCCTGACTTCCTTCTGATAACCCTTCCTCAGCACACTCTTTTGCCGCCTTGTAGGCCCCCGCAACACCTTTTCCAGGGACCGTCCTTACAGCTCGGCATTGGACTCTGGGGGGCCCAAAAACCTTTCAGGATAAAAACACATTGTTGCCTGGGAGTGAGGCCCCTGACTTCTCTTGGGGGTGAGTATACCAGGACTCTTGACACGCCTCTAGGGGCCTTTGACCTTTCTCAGGGAAAAGAGAAGAGGAACAGGCCTCTTGAACAGGCCTCTTACTTCCCATAGTTTTGCCTTTAGTTTTTTACAGCAATAATGAGGGAGTGTGGATGGTAGGTGGTGTGGAGTGTCTGGGGTAGAGAGAGGATGAGCAGACGGAAGACAAGGTGTGAGGCAGAGCTGAGGTGTGAGGGCTAGAGATGCTGGGGCTCCCCATCCAGGCCTGGCTACCGTTCCTCTCACCCTCTCACAGGTCTCCAGAGCCCGCCTACCCAGGCCAACCACTTCCCCAATCAAAGCTCGGGTCTTCCCCCAGGTCTTGCAGCTCACAGATGCTGAGAAGCAGGGAGACTCCTACTCCGTCCAGAGCCTTCTCCTCCTCTCCTCCACTGACAGAACTAGGGGGCTATGGCCTGGAGATGCTCACAACTGCTGCTGACCCCTATGCTGCTGCCCCTCCTGGCCTCAGGTGAGACGGTTCGGGACACCAGGGGCTGAGCAGTGGGACGAGAGGACAGGGTCGGGCAGGAATCAGGCTGACCCTGTGTGTGACCAGGGGTGGCTTCAGGGCCACGCTCTGAGTCCGGGCACTAGACGTCATCGCCTCTCAGGTCTCCCAGCCCCGTAAACAAACGTGTGCAGCCAGGGCTCTGACAGGAGGGTTTGTTGTTCCAGGTGTCTGGGGGTCGAAGGTTGTGTCTGAGGACCTTCACGGAGTGGCGGGACAGAGCTTCTCCGTGAAGTGCCACTACAAACCTGAGGCAGGGCCGTATGTGCCGAAATCGTGGTGTCGGCAGACATCGCCAAGTAGATGCAACCGAGTGGTCACAACCTCCGAGCCTCGGAGAGCCGTCAGTGAATCACAACACACCATCTGGGACGATCCCGAGGCTGGCTTCTTCAGTGTCACCATCGCTCGGCTCACGGAGAAGGACTCGGCAGTCTACTGGTGCGGGCAGTTTAATGCTACCCGCAATGTAATCAACATTCTCCGGAGCATCAACCTGGTGGTGTCTCCAGGTGAGGCCTTTACGTCCCTCTCCTAGGGACCAAATGAAGTATCTATAGTTTATCCCTTGTCCCTGTCACCCCCAATCCTGACACCTGCTCTGACTGAGGAAAGTGTGGTGCTCTGCCCCTCAGACAGCTTCCTATCTCTGTCATTCCTGACTTAGGAACTGAGAGAGAATGTCTAAGTTTTGTGGAGCAGGGACTTGGAGTCTCTCCCGACTCTTAACTTATTTTAGCCTGGCACAGTGCAACTTTAACCTCAACATTTGAGAGGCAGAGGCAGGTGGGTCTTTGTGAGTTGCAGGCCAGCCTGGTCTGCAGAGCGAGTTCCTGGCCAGCCGGAGGTACATAGTGAGACCCTGTCTCAAAAAAGAAAGTTGGAATGTCTTCAAGTTATAGGCGCTTATGGGGACGCGCCACATGTGTGCCAGTGGCCATGGAGGCCAGAGGGTAGGGTCCCCTTGAGGCTAGAGTCACAAGTGGCTGTGAACCACCAGGTGTGGGTGCTGGGACCCAAACTCAGCTCCTCTACAGGAGTAATTGTGTTGTCAATGGCTGAGCCATCTCACCCAGGCACCGGTGCAGGCTGGAGGTACAGACCACTGCTGGCCCCCGGGACCCCTAAGGACCTGCTCTGAGCTCGACTATACCCGCGGTCACTATCTGGGGGTCAGACTGGATTTGCCCTTCAGGACCCCACACAGTATCCTCTCTTCTTCTCTTACAGCCTCGTCCACTCTTCCTCCGCAGACCAGCATCTGGCTCCAAACAAAGATGGGTAGGTTTTCGAGGAGCAAAGATGGATGGCTAGGGAACACGGGAGCCTGAGACTCGGTGGGGCCGTCCCCTTGGGTGGATCCCCTGGGGACTTGGCAATGAGGAAGCTGCTCTCAGGGCTTTGGGGAGAGAGATGAAGTGTGCTATCTGGTCCAGCACCACCCACACCACATTTGATTTATGCATAAAGATCCCTGGTCCAATCTGAGCAGGGTTAAACAACAAACCAAACCACAACATACAAACGGCCAGGGAAATTCTCAGCATCACTAACTGCTAGGGACATGGGAATGAAAACGCAGTGAGATCATCTCACTCTAGTAAGAATCACTCCTCCCGAAAAGACAAAAGGTAAGAGGTGCAGGGAAGATGGGAGAAAGGGAACCCCGTGGCCAGTGCGAGTGTAGATCAGTACAGTTGTGTCCTACCAGCCTATGAGCCCAGCTCTTGGGAGGCGGAGGCAGGCGGATCACAAGTTCATCATCTTGAGCTATGCAGTAAGCTCAAGGTCAGCCTTGGCTACATGGAACTCTGACTAAAACAAACAACAACAATAACATAAAACCCTAGTCGGGCATGGTGGCACACTCCTTTAATCCCAGAACGCAGGAGGCAGAGGAAGGTGGATCTCTGTGAGTTTGAGGCCAGCCTGGTCTACACAGGGAGTTCTAGGCAAGTCAGAGCTACTTTGGGAAACCCTGTCTCAAAAATCACCAAACAACAACAAAATGCTGATTTAATAGACACTGGAAATTGATGGGTGAGTACCAGAGGCTGAGAGAAAAGTGAGGAATGAATGATAGGTACTGGGCTAAGGAGTGTTAAGCAATATGAAGAGGAAAAATTCCAATGTTGTGTTGCACAGTAGAGAGGCCTTAGACTACAGTAACATACTATTTACTTTTTATTATTAAAACTTCAGAATAGTTACTTTAGTACACACATGTTTTGCGCACATGTGTATCTGTGCAACATGTGCATGCCTGGTGCTTGTGTAGTCAGAAGAGGGTGTCGTATGTCCTGGAGCTGGAGTTACAGATGGTTGTGAGTAGGAGCGAGGAATCAAACCCCGGTCCTCTGCAAGAGCAGCCAGGGTTCTTAACCAATGAGCTGTCCCTCCAGCCCCTACTCATCCTTAGAGTTTATGAAAAGGATTTTAATGTCTTTACCACAAATAACTCATAAATATACAAGTATTGGAACAGCAAATGGCATAGAATAATGTGTAAAAGCCCCTTTTAATGTTATTATTATTGTTGTTGTCATGTGTATGAATGCATGGGCCATGAGGCACACGGGGAGGTCAGGGGACAACTTTTGGGGTGGCTCTCTCCTTCCACTGTGGGTTCTAAGGTTCAAACTCAGGTCTTCAGGCTGTCTCAACCGCCTATAAATATGTAAATGCTTGAAGTTAAAGATTTTTAGGCCCAGTTACGTCCGAGCCTCCCACATCTTTCCAGGGTTAGGGCCGAGACCCCATTCTCCTTTCATGCATATCTGTCTTCTTGTTTTCCCTCCAGCCTCATCCACTCTTCCTCCACAGACGACCACCCAGCTCCCAACAAACACAGGTAGGCTTGCCAGGAGGAAAGAGGGGTAGCCAGGCAATTGAGGGGGGGAAGGGGAAGGTTAGAGGAGGCCAGTCTTTAGGGATGATGCCCTCACATGTGTAAAAAATTTAAGTATAAGCTAAAGATTCTAGGGGCTGTGAGGTGGGCCCCATCTGAAAGGCTTCTCTACTTGCTCTCGTGGGTCTGGGGACCCAGTCTCGGTCTCTGTCCTGGTCATCTGAGTGACCACCACCTTGTGTCCTTCTTAGTTCTGACCACTTCTCCAGAGGAAACCACTGGCCCTTTCATCAATGGCTCTGAGCACAGGTGAGTCAGGCGTCTTCAGAGGGAGGGTTCTGGGAAAGGACGCCCAGAGAGCTCATGTAGTCAAGGAACCAGAGCGCCCAGGGCCACTCTAGGATGTTCCGCAGAGGATCTCCCTGGTGCAGACAGGGAGTCTGGACAGAAGGATGGGGGCTGGGCGGTAGGCCCCAAGCATTGGAGGGAGCTGTAGAAGAGACAGGGGAGTCAGAACGAACCGGAAACCCTGTGAGGAAGCGTGGAAAGAAATGTTTGAAGAAAGAATAGACATATGAGCTTCACAGGTTTGTAGGAAAAGGAAAGATCTCAGATCACAGACTCATACAGGGCTAGGGAATGGCTCAATGATTAAAGAAGTGTCTGCGATGTGAGGATAAGAACCAGAGTTTGGTTCCCCGGCACCCACATAAAAGCTGGGTATGGCATCATGTGTCTGTAATCAGTGTTGGGGAGCAGAGACAGGCAGACCTCAGGGGCTCAATGACCAGCTAGTCTCACCAACCATTGAGCTCCAGGCTAAGAAATAGACCCTCCAAGGTCAGAGCTATATAAACAGCTCTAAAACAACAGCAACAGACAGAGATAGAAAAAGCCCAACCTACCTTCCCAAATCCAGCAGTCAACAACAGAACTCAAAACAAGAAAACCCCCAGAATCAAGCAACTGTTGAGCTAGGCAAGGTTGTCAGATACAAGATCAACAGAGATCATGCCTGGGTTCAACTCCCAACCTCCACAACAGGTTCACAACTGCCTGTAACTCCAACTCCTGGGATCTGACACCCTGTTCTGGCCTCTGTGGCAGGCAAATGTGCCAAATGTAAAATAAGAATAAATTTAAAAAGTGTTGCCCCTGAGAATAGTGCATTTCAGGCCCAGGAGGTGTGAGGAACCTGCTGTGGTCACTCATGCCTGTAAGCCCCATATTGGAGGCCAGGGGATCAGGAGTTGAAGGTCATCCGGGTCTACAGAGAGAGCTTGAGGTCAGCCTGAGCTACATAAAACACTATATTTAAAACAAGGAAGGGGACCTAATGAGTGGAACAGGGGACAAGGCTGGAGGCGTGCAAGCAGGTCTGTGTAAATGCAGGGACAGATTGTAACATAGTAACGCCCTCAAAGAGTTGGGACAAGGTCCCATTATTTGGAAGACTAGCTCCATAATTTAGAAATGAACTCCCAACTTCCATTATGATACACAACCTGATTTCCAGATAGATTCAAACTGTATAACTTAAGTTAATTTTTAAAAAGCGATGAGGCTGGGCATGGTGGCACACTCCTTTAATGCCAGCACTCACCAGGCAGAGTCAGGTGGATCTCTGTGAGTTTGAAGTAGAGGTCTACATATCGAGTTTCAGGACAGTTAGGGCTACTTAATAGAAAGACTCTGACTAAAAACTAAATAAATAAACAAATAGATAAACAAATAAATAAAAAGCAGATGAATATGAATATCTGGGTGAGGAGGATATTTTTTTGGTTTGTTTTATTTTTTGATTTTTTTTCAGAAAACTTTAAAAACACATATCATGGGGGTGGGAATTCAACTGCCTTTTTAAAGGAGGGGGAGTTCTGCTCAACAAACAGCATGGTGAGAAATGTTCACAGGCAGCAGACTGAGAAAAATTAATTTTAAAAAGCTGAAGACAAACACAGCAGTGTGGTTTATGGTTCTCAAAGAAAAAGATGCCCATCCCAGTGGAAAATGTCAGACAAGAAAGGCAATTAGTCGAAGAGAAAATCTGAAAGGCAAATATCCGTGTTCACTGCCAAGGATCGCAGCCTCACATCTTAACAATGAGCAAGGCAGCCGCGTGCTGGGAAGTGCTTCCGGTTGGGACTGTTGTGGGCTCCTGAACCCTGAGTACAGTTGGTGGTGGCACAGACTCCTCCCACCTGTGAGAGGGCGGAGCCTCCTGGGTTTCAGAGTCTCTTAATGAGCAGCCAAAATTTCACAACCCAAAAGATGAGCTCCAGAGACTGAACAGTTGTGGACCAGAGCCACTAAGGCGTGGACAAGGTGACAACTCAGGTCCCCTTCATAAGTGGCTCTCTGTGACTCCTCACTGGCCTGCAGAGCTCTGAACGCCTCCTCCCAGCAGACCTGTCTTTCTCTGTGACAGCAGCAGCCCCGGTTTCTGGGCCGGCTTGATGGCTTTCTGGCTGACCCGGTGAGGAGCGTCCTTCCCCCAGTTGTTCAGAACCCCAGCCAGAGTTTTTACCCTTCCTCCTGGGTTTCTTACTTGTGGGTTTCCTCCCAGGCTCAGAGACCCCAGGGCTCTCATCCCCACTCGTGTCCATTGTCCCTCCAGGGCTCAGGGCAGGGCCCTGGGCAATAAACTCCCAGCTGGGGGCCATTTAGAAGCAGGTGATATCTCAGCCCAGGCTCCTCTTTCTGCTTCTGCCTCCAGAAACCAAAGTTCTCCTTCCTTTCCTGGCTGGGAATCCCCGAGGCTTTTGGTCTTCGTGCAGTACGGACTCCTCCTGCTCAAGGGCCTGATGCTGTCAGTTTTCTGTGTGGTCCTTTGCCGGAGGCGCTGCCAAGTGAGTGACCTGGCTTGGGGTGAGGGTGTTCTGTAGGATCCAGTGAGTGATCTAGGAGAACCATGTTTTCAGTTTCGAGTGAATGTGTTTATTAATTACATAGCAAGCCAAAGTAAGAGTAAATACCAATCAGTAGTAGAGAGAGCAAACCCTCATGAAACCGGGCACTCAAAGCATCCGGCAAAACTAAGGAAGCCCCATGCAGGCACCAGTTGGAGTTTCCAATAGAGTCCCAAGCAGGGCAGTGTCTGAACCCTCAGGTGAGGCTTCTGAAGACAAACAGAAGACAGATGCCATCAACACCCTACAAAAACCAGTTGGGGAAGTTGAGGCAGCCAGCTGGTTCCCAGTAGAGCTTTCTCTCCACCGACCAGCTTCCCAATAGTGACTTCTGGAGATGTCACATTTCGTTGCTCCCAGGAGCACGATGTTTTCACTCCTGGCCTGCTTTTGCTGTTCCCTTCCCTCCCTGCCACAAGGTTAGAAGGGCCAGACCACCTGTTCCCAGACTAGAGTCCTTAGAGGACACTTTGAGACAAACCTGGTTCATTCTGAATGGGGCACAAGACAGCCTCACATTCAGAGGCAGCTCCTCAGTGAGCTCAAACACCACACACACACACACACACACACACACACACACACACACACACACACACGCACGCACGCACGCACGCACTCACTCACGCACGCACGCACGCACATACAGCACATACATACCAGTGTAATGCATGTTACAGGGGCAGTAGAGCTGGGGTCACAAATGTCCCAGGGTATATTCCTAGGGAGAGGGATGGAAGTGACATTTCTTGGACTCCCTGACTATTCCTCAGAAAGTGTCCTCCCAGGAGGACAGTGCCCGGGGCCCTGGTTGGAAATCTCTCTTCTGGGTCAGAAAAAAGCAGAAGATGCCTGAAGGAAGGGCTGGGGAGGAAGAGGAAGGAAAGAAGATTCCAGATAGCAGTCCTGAGGCAGGAGAAGGCGACATAACAAGGCCTCGCTTGTGAATTCCCCCTTCCCCTTTCTTCCTCAGAGACAGGCGTGTACGGCGGAGACAGTGATGGTGGAGGTTACAGAATATGCCAGCCTTCCTGACATCTCGGAGTCCTTGGGCACATTTGGCCATCTCTCGGGGTGTGAGAAGAATGCCTATTCTCCCAGCCCCATGCAGTGACCAGAGCTGCCCAACCAACGCATACTACAACCCTACCGAAGCCTCCAAGCAAGTTCATGGGAGACACAAGTGCCTGGTCCCAGCCTCAAACCACCAGTGGCGACTGTCACTCCGGTACCCAGCACCCTAGATCCATGTTCCCACAGCCCAGATCTCCCCCAGGCTGACCACCCATGGGAAGTTAATCTGCATTGGGGTCAGACCCTCTGGCAGCACCTAACACCCAGCTCAACTATCTCCCAGGACCCTACCTCTACACCTTCTCCTCCGGGACTTTCCCGCTCTCTCCTGCCTCCATTGGCACACATGTCTCACCGGCTGCTTCTGGAGTGGGCTACTCACTAACTTAAGTCTCTTGGACTGCATCAAAGTGGAACACGGCAACACCATTTCCCTGGGCTTCCTCTCCTCTTGCTCCGGATTCCTTAAAAATGAAAGAAAAACATGATTTAAATGATAAAATGGAGAACCAAGAAAGGCTGTGATATGCAGACTACAAACAGAGGCGGTCAAAAAGTTAAAGAAAAAACTGGTTTTTAACGAGACAAAAAACTCCCTAAACAGTTTGCTTATCCAGCTACACACAGGAGCTGACCACTAGGGGTCAGTGTTGTGTTGGTTTATCAAGTGAGACCATTTCTTCTTCACAGAGAAAGTCTGTGTGGGTGTGTGCGGTTGTCCTTTAGGGAACCAAAACAATATCATATCCATAAAACAAGAAGCAGCCAGGGTGATGTTCAGAGCAGGTGTCATCCAGTGTAGCCTGGACACCAGGAATTCATCATGGACATTCACTGCCGACAGCAAGTTGAACGTTAGCCTTGCGACCACGAGAAGGCCACCATGAAGACGGCACGTTTTCCTCCTGTTGGTACCTTGCTCAGCTCTGGTCTGGGGGCTCTTGCTTTGCAGTATCGCATCTGGTTTTTTGATGGGAGATGGAGGGGGAGAGGATAAGAGAAGAGGGGAGGTGTGGAGGGAGGGAAACTGTGGTCAGAATGTGTTTACGAGACAAGACTCTATTTTCAATAAAATATAAATAAGTAACAATTAAAACGTGTATGTTAAAAGTTAGAGAGGAAAAAACCCGAAAAGGACAGTAGTTCTAGTAGACCAATGCCCTGTTTGCCTCCCTTGGCACCGCAGTATGTTCTGCATAGACACGTATGTGGGTGAAGTATCCATACACACAAAATCAACCCCAAACAAACACCCGTCAAATGGCAAGCACTCTCTGTTGTTTGTTGTCTCTTAGGACAATTCTTTTTTTGGTGTTTTCGAGACAGGCTCTCTACATAGCCCTGGCTGTCATAGAACTGTCTGTGTAGACCAGGCTGGCCTCAAACCCACAGAGATCTATATGTCTGCCTCTACTTCCCCAGTGCTGGGATTAAATTATCCACCATCATACCTGGCTGGATAAACTTATTATCTTCATTTTAACTTCTAACTTCATGACTTTTCATCTCCCATAGCAGAATAATTGTTCTATTTATTTCTCTGTAAGTTGTTTTTACAAGTTATTCTTTTTGTAGCATTTGGCAGCCTTGCTCATCTTATCTTTCCTCCTCCTCTCTAGGATGCACTGCTTAAGATCGCCCAAGGGCAAACAGAGGTGAGACTCTTGCCAGGGAAGCCCAAAGGCATAGACATATTTAGCACACCATAAAGCCACCCAAATCAGAGACTAGCAAAAGTCAAGACAGTATCTTGAATTATTGGGAATTTTTTTCATCTCCTTTTTACAATTAGGATAAGCAAAAGCATAAGCGGAATTAAAGATATAAATGTTAAGTAAGAAGATATTTAAAAGCAAAACAAATATATGTGTGTTGAGGTAGAGATGCAAGCAATTGAAAACAGGAGCCATAGAGGGGGAAAAGGCCAGAGAATTAAAAGCCCAAAGATAGGCATGATGGCACAAACCTGGAATTCCCAGCCCATGGGAAGCGGAGACAGGAGGATGAGCTATCAAAGATTGCCAAGATCAAGTTATACAGTGGGTCTGAGGTCAGCTAAGGCTGCATGAGAGACCTGCCTAAAATTCCAAAACAAACGTAAATGTTCTGTGTTTCAAGACACCACAAGGAAAAGGAAAAAGATAAAAAGGGGTTGAGGAGAAGGTATGGAAGATGGACAGACAGACAAGGAGACAGACAGACAGACAGACACACACACACACACACACACACACAGAGCACCAGGCAGCAATAACCTAACTCCCTCTCAGTAGCTGTCTTAGTAAGGATTTCTATTGATATGATAATACACCATGACCAAACACCAACAGGACATATTTCATCTTACAACTCTCAGGTCACACTCCATCACTGAGGGAAGGCAGGGCAGGAACTCAGGTCAGGAACCTGGAGGCAGGAGCCGAAGCAGATGCCTTGGGGTGGTGCTGCTGACTGGTTTGCTCCCCAAGGCTTGCTCAGGCTGCTTTCTTACAGCGTCCAGGACCCCTACCCAGGGATGGCACTGCTCACAGAGAGATGGGTCCTCCCATAGCCATCATCTATCAAGAAAACACACCACAGGTTTGTCCAGCAGGCCTGGTGAAGGCATATTCACAGTTGAGATTCTGTCTTCCCAAATGACTCTGACTTGTGTCAAGGTAACAGGAGGCCCCACCTCCTGAAAGTTCTGTCACTTCTCAGGACACACAGGCAGGTGGCCAAGCCTTTAACCTGTGAACCTCTAGAAGACACTTGTCCAAACTGTCATCGGTTCCAAGAGACAGCCCCTTGGAGCAGTGCCTTCGGGTTTTGGTTTGGTGGGCATGGTGGTAGACAGCCTCATCAGCTGGGATCCACACCAGTGACATCAGTAGGGCAGGCGTGGAAGCTCTGAGGTGAACACAGAGCACTCATGTCTGTGTGTGGGTCCTGTGGCAGGGCAGAGCTATGCCGGGGCCCACACAAGCAAGGTACAGCAGATACAGAAGACGGGACAGGTACTTCTCTAATTCTAGGGATTCCTCATAGATGCAGGCTCATCAGCGGTGTGGGGTGGGGATGGTCATGGACACAGGCTCACCAGTGGTGTGGGGTGGGGATGATCATGGATGGAGGCCTTCCAGAGATGCAGGGTGGGGATGGTCATGGATGGAGGCTCTCCAGAGGTGCAGGGTGGGGATGGTCATGGATGGAGGCCTTCCAGAGGTGCAGGGTGGGGATGGTCATGGGTGCAGGCTCTCCAGAGGCTCAGGGTGGGGATGGTCCTGGATGGGGGTTCTGCAGAGGTGCAGGGTGGGGATGGTCATGGACACAGGCTCTCCAGAGGTGCAGGGTGGGGATGGTCATGGATGGAGGCCTTCCAGAGGTGCAGGGTGGGGATGATCATGGATGGAGGCCTTCCAGAGGTGCAGGGTGGGGATGGTCATGGATGGAGGCTCTCCAGAGGTGCAGGGTGGGGATGGTCATGGATGGAGGCTCTCCAGAGGTGCAGGGTGGGGATGATCATGGATGGAGGCTCTCCAGAGGTGCAGGGTGGGGATGATCATGGATGGAGGCCTTCCAGAGGTGCAGGGTGGGGATGGTCATAGACACAGGCTCTCCAGAGGTGCAGGGTGGAGATGGTCATGGTTGCAGGCTCTCCAGGGTGGGGATGGTCATGGATGGGGTTTCTCCAGAGGTACAGGGTAGGGATGGTCATGGACACAGGCTCTCCAGAGGTGCAGGGTGGGGATGGTCCTGGATGGGGGTTCTACAGAGGTGCAGGGTGGGGATGGTCATGGATGGGGGTTCTGCAGAGGTGCAGGGTGGGGATGGTCATGGATGGAGGCTCTCCAGAGGTGCAGGGTTGGGATGGTCATGGATGGGGGTTCTGCAGAGGTGCAGGGTGGGGATGGTCATGGACACAGGCCCTCCAGTGGTGCAGGGTGGGGATGGTGTGGTATATGTTACAGCAAGGGTGACCAAGAACGAGTTTGATGCCAGGGTGGTGACGCATGCCTTTAATTCCAACACTCAGGAGATGGAGTCAGAATCTCTGCAAGTTCCACACCAACCTGGTCTACATAGCAAGTTCCAGGCCAGTCAGAGCAACATAATGAGACCCTGTTTTTTTTTTTAAAGGTGGGCTTGGTCTCACAATGATGCCATACAATGTTGGCCTGGTTAAAGGGTTGGATTCCTCCCCTATAGCAATGCAAGAAGTAAGCGAGTCTTACACTGGGTTCAGGGTCCTTGAAGGCTGCCAGATTCCCCAGTTGCAAAATCTTTTAGTGTCTGTGATTATCATGCTAGACATGTCTAGTGTCTTCTGAGGTTGCTGACATCATCTGGCTTACCTTTCCCTGTCAGGGGGAGACGGGCTGTTTCCGGGCAGATTGCAGTGGGGCGTCAGAACAGGCACGCAAGCACTTCATATCTGCTTTAAAAGAAAGTATTCTTTTGTTGTGTGTGTAGAGTGTTTTGCCTGCATGTCTGCATGACCACCTTCATGCTGGGTGTCTGTAGAAGCTAGAAGAGGGCAGGAGATGGTGCAGACAATTGTGAGCCACCATGCAGATGCTGGGACTTGAACCCAGGTTCTCAGGAAGCAGCCAGTGCTCTTACTCACTGAGCCATCTCTCCAGCGACCCTTTATTTCCTCATCGGCAAGGTCATCTTAGGTCTTTGTGGTTTTCTCTGTTCCAGGTTCCAGAGTTCTTCCCCCAGGATGTGTGAGCGTGTGCGTGTGTGTGTGCACGTGTGTCTGTTGTACGTGTTCGCATGGGTGTAGGCTCAATGTGTGTGGACTTGTATGTGAGGCCAGAAGTCATTGGGCAAGCTTCTCAATGGCTCTCCACCTTGGTTTTATTTATTTATTTATTTGTATGTTTGTTTGTTTGTTTGTTTGTTTATGGTTTTTCTGAGACAGGGTATCTCTGTGGCTTTGGAGCCTGTCCTGGAACTAGCTCTTGTACACCAGGCTGGTCTTGAACTCACAGAGATCCATCTGCCTCTGCCTCCCGAGTGCTGGGATTAAAGGCGTGCGCCACCACCACCTGGCTCCACCTTGGTTTTAAGACAGGGTCTGCTGCCAGCAAAGCACACTGGAAAATAGTGAGCGAGGGCGGCAGCATGTCTTCAGTGAGTAGAAAGGCTGAAACATAACAGTTTCTGAAACGAAATCATTCGATTTTCAGAGCTAAAGTAACTTGTTTTATAAACTTTTGCCCTCCCCACCCTTGGAGCTGACTCAGTTGAGTGCAGCTGTAAGCCAGAGCCACCAACCATGTGACACGGAATTCCCCCACTTTCTCTAAGCTCTCCTCAGATCCCTGACCACACCGCTGTCGGCTTGTCTGTCTAGGGCACTGTAGGAGTGGAAATACAGCTCTCACCTCACAGGGCTTAAGACAGCATTTACTTGGGAGCCAAGTGAGAGTGACCTTTGTCTAGGAGCACAGACTAGGTTACCCCAAATTCCATGTTTTGACACGGTAACGTTTCCACGGAGATTTTAAAAAATATTTATTTTTATTTTTCATATGTGAGTGCTTTGCCTTTGTGTGGGTATGTGAACCATATATGCGCCCTCAGAAGCCAGAAGGAGGGAGCCAGGTCCCCTGGAACCGGAGTTAAGGATGGTTGTAAGTGCCATGTGGGTGGACCAGACTCTGGTCCTCTGCAAGAGCAGCTGAGCCCTCTAGCCGGGCCTTCCATGAAGTTTTATAGTATGTAATGAAGCCACACATCAAGGCGCCGCAGAAAGGCAGGCCACTGCAAAGTGTGGAAACCTGAGCTCTAGACCACAGACGCTGTCTGCCCTTGTCCCTAGACTGCTGACTGCTGGAGAGTAGGATCTGCTTGTACATTCGAAAAGTTCTACCTAATGTCACAAAGACAGGTCACATACTAAGGAGGGCAAGAAATGACTATCGGGAAGGGCTAAAGTTCAGTTCCCAGCATCCACATGGCAGCTCACAACCGTCTATAACTCCAGGTCCAAGGGATCCAGCACCCTGTCCTGCCATCCACGGGCACTAGGCACATGTGTGGTGCGCATACATACAGGCAGGCAAAACACTCGTAGATATCAAGTAAAAATATTTTTTAAAAATTAAAAAAAGGAACCTAGGAGGAATATTATCTATCTATCTATCTATCTATCTATCTATCTATCTATCTATCTATCTATTTATTTATTGAGACAGAGTTCAACTATGCAGCCCAGGCTGGCATCCGTGTCTCACTATGTAGATAGACCAGGCAGGCCTCAGATGCACAGAGATCTGAATGCCCTGCTGAGATTAATGTGTGTACCACCACACCTGGCAAAACCTTTATTATTTAAAACACAAGATCATCCTTGATAACACAGAGAGTTTAAGCCCCAGGATAAATGAAATCTTGTCTCAAAACAATGAAAATAAAAAATAATGACATCATTGTAATAAAAACATAACTTATTTAACCAGACAGTAATAGATGTTGTACTTACATAGTCTTAATAAATGTTTATTCTTTCTCTTTGTTCATTGAATTAAGGTTTTTTTAACATTTTTTATTAATTTAATTTTTACATTCCAATCCCAGTTCCTCCTCCCTCCACTCCTCCCGCTCCCCCATCCCCCCTCCCTCAGAAAAGGTAAGGCCTCCTCTAGGAAGTCTACTAATTCTGTCCCATCATCTCATTGAGGCAGGTGAATTAAGTTTTACAAAGCTAATCTTCTCTCAGATGACCTCACCAAAGTATGTGTATGTGTGAGTGTGTGTGTGTAAGTGTGAATGTGAGTGTGTGTGAGTGAGCATGTGTGAATGTATGTATGTGTGAGTGTGTGTGTGAGCATGTGTGAATGTGTGAGTGAGTGTGAATGTGTGAGTGAGTGTGAGTGTGAGCATGTGTGAATGTGTGTGTGAGTGTGAGTGTGAGTGTGTGAGCATGTGTGAATGTGTGTGTGTGTGTGTGTGTGTGTGTGAGACAGTCAGTAGACACTGCTGGGGCCAGTGCTTTCCTTGCACTGTGTGACTGAATTGGAATTCAGGTCCGCAGGCTCCTCTGTGTACTTCGCCGGCTTGGGAGTGCAGTTTATGGTACAGTCCTCTTGGGGGTGCCAAGATGGTGAGAGCTGGGCCCATTGGGGAGCAGAGCCACAAGTGAGTCGGGCAGCCAGCCTTGTGGAGGGTTTGGGTCTTCCCAGGACTTGTGTCCACGGCACTGGATACCATTCTCCCCCCAAACATAACGTGTCTCAGTGTCCCCTTTGAATGCCACATGAGAACCCTTACAGGACAAGTGTGTGTCATTCTTTTGTCTCCAGTGTCCAGGGCCATGCATAGCAAGGAGGTTGTGAGAACTAATGAGCGAATGAGTCAATGAGTCAAAAGATGTGTTTGAAGTGAGCAAAGCTAAAACTCCTTTGCTCTGGCATTTGGGAGTTTAAGACCCTGCTCAGGCACCAAATATTAAGTATAGTGTCCCGATATCTTTGTTAAGACTATGGTTGTACAAAATTGGAGGATTTTTTGTTCAGTGGCCTAAACAAGTAGGGGAACCCATATAATCATGGGGTTGCACAGTTGTTGGACATCAGCAGAACCTTGTGATTCTTTGGGGACTGAGGGAAGGGTGGAGTCTTGGGCCAAATGCTGGGTCATTTCATCTAGAGCAGTGGCTGTGGGAGAGAGATATGGCTGAGGACCGGAAGTGAGGGGACAGCACTGGTGGTTTCTAACCCGGCAGAACAAGGGGAAGGAGGGGCTCTGCAGAACAAGGGGGAGGAGGGGCTCTGCAGAACAAGGGGGAGGAGGGGCTCTGCGGGCCTGGTAATCTGAGAGGAGATGGGGGAGGGGAAGGCTTACTGTATTTCAAGAAGTATGGAAGCCAGGGAGGAGTGGAAGGTTCCAGAGAGCTGGCAGGTGAGTTAGAGACCCCAGGAGGAACGCGGGGAGGGACAGAGCCAGAGTAATGTGTGGCCAGGAAAAGGGAGAGGCCTAGTGTGTGGGAGTGGGAGTTTCTAAATTTGCATATTTTCCCCCCATGACAAAAGTGAGACCACAGGCACGTGAGAGGTTATTTGCAACAGTGAGCAGGATCTACTGATGTAAGCAGCCCCTCTATCCCGCCCCCAGCCGGAGTCAAGGTGACTGAGGGAGTGCATTTCACCAGGCATAAGGCCTTCCTTGTGAAGGAGTATCAAGGCCTGCCAGAGAGCACTTGAACCTCTGGACCCACAAGATCCCATAAAGTCTGTACGGAATGTCCCAGAAGCCTCCCCTCCAGGTCCCTGGGTGGACCAGACTCCTTGGATGAGGAGATGCCACAGATGGATCTGGTTTTCTGAGCAGAATCACAGAGGTTTTGGTTGTCAGCCTTCGCCATGCCCAGGGGCCCCAGGACTGGGCGGAACAGCCACACCTGCCTGCAGTTCTGAGGAAGAGGGCGGAAACGGCCAGCGCCCGCCCTCGCTTGCTCCCAGACTCTTGTGATAGGCACTGCTGGGGCACCGTGTGCCCGACGGCCGGCCTCACTTCCCCAAACAGGCAACTGTAATTTTTGGAACCTGACATCCGTCCCTGGCAGACCCCAGCGGCATGCCTGGGGTCAGTGTGGGTCCCAGATTCCCCGGGTGTCTGTGACTGCTCATCTGCATGGAGTCATGGACTCTCGTGTTCCTGCTGCTGCTGCTGTGGCTACAGGCCTGTGTCTCAGGTAAGAGGTGGGGCCGGGGGAAGAGAAAGACCCCTTCTTCCTGTCTGCCTTTGCATGTTCCATGGTCTTCGTGTTGTGTGGGAAGGAGGCTGGGCTGACTTGGTGGGTCTTTACCACAGGCTGGGGAGAAAGTTCCTAGCATGCTAATATCTGGCCCCAGGCAGAGCCTCACCAGACCTCACAGGAGGGTGTAACTGCTGTAACTGTATCCGCTATATTGGTCTTTATCTGCTAAGTTCCCTTGGTGTGGAGAATTTCCTCACAGAAATTACCTATGTTTGGCTTTTGTTTGTCAAGAGAGCTCTTACTGGTGGTGGTGTGAGTCTTTGTAGCATGCTTGCACTCTATGAATTACATTTTTCTCGGAATGCTGATGTCATATCCGGTCCCTCTGCTCTGACCTGAAGGGAACCAATCCTCAAAGGCCTTTCCCTACTCAAGGCTACTACTCTCTGCCTTCCTGGCTGCCAAGGCAACCACTTACCACTTCCTGTTCCTTTCTGGGTATGGTGAGGGCTGCCAAACCCACCCCTCACTGTTTGACAGAAAGTTAAGGCACAAAGAAACCAAGGACCCCCTAGAGGCCTCCTCCAGGTGGTCCCACCTCCGCTGCTCTGCGGGGAGGTAAAGTTGAGAGGCCTGCTCTGTTCTGTCACTTTGCAAGGGGAGAAGAGTCTCGGAGCTTCAGCTACAGTGACGAGTGGCTTCCCGGTCTTGACTGGAGCTCTCTCTGTCCCCCGAATCATCCGCCCCCCCCCCCCCCCGCTCTACGCTTTCTTCAACAGACTAGATTATGACGGACACAGACCACATAAATACGTTCGTTCATATTCCTTCTCTCTCCCTCCTTTGTATGCGGGTGTGCTATATGCACATGTACAGACTTGCCCCCAACCCATCACTGGGGTTACGGGTGCACAGTGATGGGACTTGGCATTTTTGCATGAGTCTTGGGATTTGAACCCAGGCTCTGATGCTTAGCTGTCTTTATAAACAGTCTCCCCAGGCTTCTTTTTCTCTTTACAGACAGGGTTTTTGTTTTGTTTCCAAGCTAGCATGAACTCACTCGGTGTTCCAAGATAGCCTTAAACTCTAGGTTGTACTTCCTCAGTCTCCCTTATGCTGTTACAGGCATAAGCCTCACCTCACTCCAAGGTATAGAGACCAGATGCTCTACCAGGCATGTCTAGCCAGCAGTCCGCAGGCCCCGTGCATCCTGGGATAGCTATGACTTGCCCAATGCATTTAGAGAGGACAAAGTCAAGTTGCAATATGGAAACATTGGATGAACAGTGAATAATGTAGAAACCACTCACTGGCTCATGGGCGGGGGCGTAAGTGTGGGCGGCGTGCTTTATCTATGACTTTTATGTAACTACAATACTTAAAAATTAAGCACCATGGAGAGTGCTATTTTAAAGGTATTCAATAGAGGGCCAGGGTTGTGGCTCGGTGGTAGAGTGTGCCTGTCCAACATGCTGGAGGCACTGGGTGTGATCCCCAATACTCCATGCAAAACAAAGAGGAGAGAGCAGAGAGGGAAGAGGAGAAGGGGGGAGAAGGAAACAATATTACTGGGGGAAATAAGTCTCATCATTTTCCCAGATACATGACTTTTTTATCACCACGGTAGTTTGTGCTCTCAGGTTCCAGAGCTTGGTGACCTGTTTGTGTCTGCACATCTATCTCAGCAGTGTGTGGGTCTGTCCTGAAATACTGCGCTTCCCTGAAGACCAGAAAATGTCCAGACGAAAGGGGACTATATCTGCTAAAGCTCTCCTGCTAAGGTTGTTTCCTCACTGGACTGGGACTCCTCCATCAGACTGGAAGCCAGCTGATAGTGGTTCTGTGCGTCTCCCATCAGACACGAGGGCAGGGCTCTGTTCTACCTCACGCTGAGCTCCGCAAAAGTCAGGGCTGCTGCCTCCCCCGACCAGTTTCAAGATGTCTTCTTCTTCCTCTCCAGACCTTGCTCAGTAAGCCCTGTCTCCCCAGGTCCCTCCAATGAGAACGTGTACAAGAAAGTGTGGCGGCGTGAAGGGGAGTCTCTGTCCCTGCAGTGCTCCTACAAGAACCGCAGAAACCGCGCAGAGGGCAAGGCTTGGTGCAAGGTCAGGAGGAGGAAGTGTGAGCTCAGCTTCATGCGGGACTGGGTGAAGGGGCCCAGCTACTCCATGCAGGATGATGCCAAGGCCAAGGTGGTCCACATCACCATGGAGGACCTCAGAGTCCAGGACTCGGGAAGATACTGGTGTATGCGGAACACAGCTGGGCATCTCTACCCCTTGGTGGGTTTCCAGCTGGAAGTGTACCCAGGTGAGCAGACCTGCCCAGAGCTGGGGTGGGCGGGACAGCACAGGGAAGGTTCTTCACTGCGGAAGTCTTCCTGTCACCTTTTTACAGACAAAGAAAAGGAGCTTATCAAACTCTGTGCGCTTCTGGTCTTGCCCTGCGCAGAGGAGAGACGGGAACTCAGGGCCGTGCTATGTTTCGTTCAGTTATCTGAATGTCATATACTTGCCGAGCTCGGGGTGTTACATTGTTACAGGCTTTGAGAATATGATGATGAACAAACCCAGCCATAGCCTGCCCCGTGGGGATGCCAGACAGCAGCACACCATCCAGACAGCAGCACACCATCCAGACAAATCATGGCACAGCAGGACCTTTGTGCTTAGAAAGCAATAATGAACTAGTCGCTCAGTGTCAGCCCCCCCCCCCCCGTGAGGAGGGCTTGCTTATGCTTGGAGGGCATCTGCAGGGACAGCCTATGAGCAAAGGCCCTGAGGTGAGAGGCAACACAACGTGCAACAGGGTTAGGGTGGGAGAGAGTGCTCAGGGGAAGGGAGCTGTAAGTTTTATAGTAACTGGCTGCATTTATTTTGGGACAGGGTCTCACTATGTAGCCCTGGCTGGCCTAGAACTCGCTATGTAGACCAGGTCACTTGCGCTCACAGAGATCCGCCTGCCTCTGCCTCGCGAGTGCTGGGATTAAAGGTGTGCACCACTGCACCAGTCTAATGCATTGCTCTCATTTTGGCTTGTAGAGTCAGGTGGTCCTCGATTCCACGATACAGAAATGGGTCTGATTCTAAAAGTAACAGGAAGAGTAACATGATGTACCTTTCTTTGCTCCTCCACTTTGTGTATGTATGTGTAGATTATGTAAGGGTGTACTGTGTACATGTGAAGACCAGAGGTCAAGCTCAGGTGTCATTCCTTACCAGCTGTCCACATTGTTTTTCAGACAGGGTCTCTCACTGGCCTGTGGGGTACGCTGGCTCCCCAATGCCCAGATTAAAAGCACACCCCAGTGTGCCCAGGTCTGCGTGCTTTCAAGGCAGGCGCTTGACCGACTGAGCTGTCTTCAGCCCCTTCTTTGTAAGGCAGCCTTCACTGTGTATGAATGGTGGGAGGGTGTGAGAGGAGCCAGTGAAACCAAGGTGGATGCCGGAAGCAGCAGTGGCTTGGACAAGTGCGACTTGGGTACATCTGCCCTCACTCCAAAATATACAGAACATCTAAAAAAAAGCACAGAGTTGAGTTCACCTATTACCACCTGCCTCCCAGTGCCCACCACCTGCCCTCCCCTGCTGCTCTGAACTGAGCGCATCTCCATCCTCCCTGGTTCTGACCAGGAGAACTTTCCTTGACAGCTGCGGGGCCAAATCTCACTCCATCACTCTGGTTCTATGTCAACCCCAGAAGCAGGTGAAACTGACTCTGGGGTCTTCATTTAGAGGGATGCCATCATGAGATGGACTTCCTTTTCTATCATCATTCCTCTTATCCGTGTGTGTGTGTGTGTGTGTGTGTGTGTGTGTGTGTATGCGTGCACCCGCACGTGTGTGCTTGGGCTCCTGCATGTCAGTCCAAGCATGTGTGTGCATCTGCACATGGAGGCCAGTGAAAACCTCAGGTGCCATCTGCTCTTTTATTTTCTTTGAGACAGTGGCTGCCACTAACCTGGAAGTTGCTAAGTAGGTTAGACTGTCAGGCCAGTGACCCCAGGAATTCCCCATCTCCGCTTCCCCAGCATAGACTGTAAGCGTGTGCACCATGCTTGGGGTTCGGGAGTTGAACTCCGGTCCTCGTGTTTGCGTGGCAAGCACTATTGATAGAGCTTCCCCTTCCATATTTTCATTTTCTGCTTCGTAAGGGTAATCTTCGACTTTGCCCATGTTGTCAGTGGCAAGAAGAAAAACCTCCTGCCAATGACCATCCGGCTCACTGAGAAAAGACACTTGATGCCAAACCCGATGATCTGAGTTTGATCCCTGGGACCACACTCCTATCAGGAATGTGTGTGTCCACCCCAAAATAAATAAATGAAAATGAAAAAAAAATACTTAAGCCTCAAGCCAGTTACAACTCTGATAGCAGTGTGTGCACCGCCCCGGCAACCGGGTCTTGTAACCCAGGACGACGGGTTGGGGAAGCAGCTGCCCTCCTGCCCAGCCCCTTCATCTTTGGAGGTGGGGATGGTTCCTCTTGCACCCAACCTTGGTGCTCTCTCTAGCACACACGGACGTCTTGGTAGGAATGAGGGATTAGTGGTGTGAGTCAGCTGGCAGGCATGGGAGGCCCTACTTGCTGAGTCCTTCCCCCCTCCCATGCTTTAAAAGTCTGATGTTCACGCCCATGTCTTGCTGTCTCAGCCACCCTTTCGGAGAGCTGTTGGAATGTCCTTGAGGGGAGTCTAAGCCATAAGTTGGCTTCTTTCTGGATCTTTCTCCTCTCCTACACTGATGTTCAGGCTTCATTGCCCGGAACAGTGGCTCAGGCCTCCCTGCACAGGGACCACTGGCCTCAGGAACGTGTCTTTTCTATGCCTAGTAGAGGGGTTGGGAGTCTTTCTGTGTCTTGCTCCTGCGGAGACAGACCTGTGGCTCCCCACAAGACTGAACTTCTGTTTGCAGCTCCCACATGCTGTCCAGACCCCACGCTGCTGCTGCTGTTGCCGGCAAAGGGTTGGAATGATGGTCTGAGGGGCAGGATCTGCCCCTGTGTGTCTTAGTGTACAGCGAGGAAGGTGTCTGATCACCGCTCTTTGCCGTTTCCCCCTGAATGTGGGACCCTTGGCTCCTCTCTGTTCTGAGTTCTAGTCCCCATTTGACAATTATGAAGCAGCTACCTTTATAAAACATAGTATTATAGAAATATCTCTTTAAAAAGGGTCAGTGAGGTGTCTCAGTGGGTAGCAGCACTTGCCATCAAGCCTGGTGACCCGGGTTCAAACCCCAGGACCCATATGATGGGATGTCAGAGCTGACTCCTGCAAGTTGTCCGCTGACCTCCACACACACACACACACACACACACACACACACACACACTTACGCGCTAAGTAAATGTCATTTTAAAAGGAAATCTCTTTGATGCTCATGAGTAAGGACAGCCTGAAAAGTGACCAGGGAGCTAGGAAGGAAGACTTCGAGGCTGTGCTCTGGGAGCAGGCCCGGAAGGGGAGACTGAAGAGATTGTTCTAGTGTCCTCCTTCCTAACATGTCTGCTTCCTCCTTCCTGTCACTCTCTGAAAGAACACTCAGAAACCGAGCCCAAAGTCATGGAGAGGAAGGTTCTCCCCGGCGTCTGCGCAGCCGAGGGGCTGTGAATTCTGCACTCAAGCCTTTGCTAATATTTCTTCCTCTCTGGTCCCTCAGCCCTCACAACTGAGAGAAACATTCCTCACACGCATCTAACCAACACCCTCGAGAGTGGATTTGTCACAACGGGCCAGGTCCCCATGTCAAGCCCTCACGCCCCCTTCACCCCTGACGTGACTGTGTTCACATCTGGACTCCTCACCTTGGCCTCAGGAACCACCGCACCAACCCCCGTGACAAGCAACAGTTTCACCGATTCCAGTGGGATCACAGAGCCTGGGAGGAGCACGGAGCCCCAGCCAATGACCATGTCTCCTAGCGATGCGAGATCTTTCTCTGCTGATCCGGGGACCACCTCCACTGTGTCCAGACACCTGAGCAGTGACTTGTCCACCGTGGGGATGTGGCACCAGTTGACCCCCAACAGGTTATGTGGCATTTTATCAAGTGTGGCCCCAGCTCTCAGAGCCCAACAGATCTCAAAAGGCCACTCTTGGATTCAGCATTCCCTAGGCCCCCATGAACTCAGTCTGGCTCACTGCAGTGAGTGATGAGAGACGGGAAGGGTCCTAACGGGAGGTGATGGAGAGGAAAGTCAAGAGTATGGGGGGGGGGGGGAGAGGGGAGGAAGGGCCAGGGTCAGGGGTTAGGAAATGGGAAATGCACATGCTTTATCTGGGTGGCCCAGACACTGAGAGGACGAGCAGCACGTTACCCAGAGCACCGGGAAGAGTGTGAAAGTGAGACAGAGAATGGAAGTGACTGGCCAGCCATGCTCGAGGCAGCCTCTGCTGTGCACACAAGAACACCAACCCACTGGGCAGCTTGTGGCTGACACCCGACCACTCAAGGCCAAGGAGCTAGGACAGTGATATGCTGTCTCTTGTTCTCCACCGGTAGGGGGCAGCATAAAGGGATCCAGCCTAAAGGATGGTGCTGGCTTTAGTGACAGGAGAGACAAAGGGGACAAGGGGAGTCCTTAGTCACTATGGAGCCAACAGTCTTGGTGTCCTGAGTCCCGAAGGGCCATTTTGCGGTGTCCTCGTCTTCGCTGATGAAAGGACTTGAGGACATGCTGGAGGAGAGGTGTCGTGAGATGCTCCCTCCTGCCTGTTGACACACCGTTCTCCTCCCACATCTGATCCCAAGAGAGAAGGACAGTGTCTATCTAGAGGGAGTGCTGGGAGGCTGCCTGCTGCGTCTGCGGGGACCTGGTGCTTATTCTCCACCTGCCCTGCCTCCTCAGGTCCCAGGAGATGTACCTTCCTGTGATGGCGGTGGTGCTGATATTCCTTCTGGCACCTGTGGTGGTGGTGATCTATAGGTTTTGGAAGAAGAGGCACATGGGGAGTAAGTAGATTCACTGTAACACAGATAACAAAAACCCAGAGTCAGACATTGGGGTTCAAGTTTCAAGCTTAAGATCAGAGAAGCAAAGCAGCCAAGCCAGTAGGTCTTACCTCTACACAGCTGAAATTGCAATCCTGTCTCCATGAATCCTCAGAGGCAAATGACTCTGAGTTCCTGTCTCCTGTTCCTAATATTCCTCTCTCTACCTAACCACATTCTCCTGTCTCCACCTCCCTAGAGCTGGGATTAGAGGTGTGTGATCTCAAGTGTTGGGATCAAAGGTGTGAGCTCTGTTTCTCTTCACTCTTGTATAGGCCAGGGTAGCCTTGAACTCAGAGAGATCCATCTGCCTATCTCCTGAGTCCTGGGATTAAAGGTGTGTGTTACCACTGCCTGGCTCTAAGGCTTGCTAGTATGGCTGCTGGAATTAAGGGTGTGTATTACCATTGCCTGACCTCTATGGCTTGTGGATAGCTTTGTTTTCTGAGCCCTTGGGCAAGCTTTAATAAATCATAAATAATATATCACCACAAGTTACCCCCTGGCTCCCAGGGTTAAGATATGAGTCCCTAATCTGAGGATTGTGACACTGAGTCTTTGACTGGAAAATAGCCCTCTGCCTGTGTCCAATCAAGATGACCAGTGACATCCAGGGAGGAGGAGGGTGGCCAGGCATGGGTGGTCCCACATGTCCCTTAAGGGGATGAAGGAATAATGGGGAGGCTGGAGAGGGTCGAAGATCACCCAGGGGCATTGGGGCACTGAGAGCAGGGCATGACCCTTCGTCACCTCTCCCTGTTTGTTGTAGGCTACAACCTGGGCAGCAACTCTGCTAAACCCTGGATGCACCTTCCTGAAGGAGCAGAGACACTGTGGAAGCCTGCTTGGTCTAAGATTACTCAGTGATCTGGGAAGCTGATCCCAGGGGCTCAGAGGCCGGAAGAGGACTGAAGAGCAGGCAATGGCCCTGGGGCAGGAGGACAGTAGTTACCTTCCTTTCCTCGTGTCCTCAGTTTCCCTCGGCTCTCTACAAACATCGCCATGGGTTTGGAGACCGGAGCCAGAGCTCATGAGCCCTTGAGGCAGCCAATGTCTCTAGGGTCCTGTTCTGGATGAGAAGGGACGGTGACTAAGATCTGGGGACACAAAGAAACTGGTAGCAGGAAGTCCCAGAACTGACCAAGGCCACGTGTCTTCTGATGTGCCCTGACTGCAGCTGCTGGTCCCTTCTGTCCTGGAAGCCTAGAGATCACACATTTCTCTTGTTTCCTGCCTGGCAGCCCCTCTCAGGCAAATGAGAGCCTTCAGCTACCGGGTCAGCCTTTCCCAAGACGGGCGCAAAGGCTGAATGTGGACTCCCCAATCCAGTTCCTGCTCCCATGCCACAGTGATGAGCTCATGGAGGAGACTGAGTGCAGAGGCTGCACCTTGAGGTGTCTGCAGCCCCATGGAGAGGGCCCCTCCTCCAGACACTGTGGTTGGCCGCAGAGTCAAGCATGACCACTTACGAGAAAAGACCACACGGAGGTGCCCTGCTTAAAACAACAGTGGATGGAGGACTAGGTTTGGAGAACTGACAAAGCAGATTCTATCCTGGAAAGATGGGCAGACACACGGACACACGGACGGACACAAACACCACACAGAGAGAGAGAGAGAGAGACAGACAGACAGACAGACAGACAGACAGACAGAGACAGAGAGAGAGAGAGAGATCTTCCAATGGCCATCAAAACCCTGCTTTGAGCCATGCTCATAGTTAAGCATCAGGACCACTTCTCCAGGCAGGAATGAAAACAACAGAGCCCGGGATCCAATGGTCTACTGACTCTGCCTCCTCCCTATGCACACCACAGACTCGGCCTCTACTATCTAGATCATTGGTCCAGAGTTGAGCAGGGATGGCTGTGGGCTACGGGCTGTGGGCTGTGGGCTGTGGGCTGTGGGATGGACTGTCTCCCAGTACAGATACACACTAGCCCATGGGGGCTTAAAAGGTCCCTGAGACAAATACGATATCTACATTCTCAGCCCTGAGTCAGGGACAGCAGACATCACAGTCAGGAGGGTGACACAGCTGGGGCCTTGGTTGTACTCCAGGTTGGCTTTGGAAAGATGGAAGAGCCAAGGTGTAAACTTGGGAACAGAAGGGAGTGACTTCTGACAGAGCATGACCGAGGAGGGAACGCAGGCTGAGCAACTGACAAATCAAGTTCTAGAAGGAAGGACAGACATGCACACACATCCCTGGCTAGCGAGAGGTCTGTGTAGAGCCACCACCCTAGTGGGCAACTGGGAAGATGGACTCACAGCACCCCAGAGTCCCTCCTCCATTCCTGGCCCTGCACCTTCATTGGCCCTGACAGCCCTGACTCATGGACAGCCCATGGACAGGCACTCAGCCTAAGAACCAATGATCCCTGTGTGACCCCGACCTCAGTTTTCCCTCTCGTATGAGAGGGGCCATGATTCCTACCTCTACAGAGTGTCTGGGGCATGCAATGCAATGTCATAAACACTGTGCAACCTGTGAGTGTCACTTGACTACTTTGTTGTGACTGAAGCACTCTGAGCAGGGGCTGCACAGATGGCCCACGGTTAACATGCTTATTGCTCCTGCAAGACCCAGGTTCCGTTTCCAGCACCCACACGGGCAGCTCATAGCTGCCTCAACTCAAGTTCCAGGTATCTGATGCCCCTTTCTGGCCTCCTCAGGCACTTCAGGCACATGAGATACACACAAATACATCCATTGAAAAAATCTAAAAACAACAACAACAAAACCCAGCCATATTGACCAAAAGCACCCTAGGGAGGAAAGGGCTTATTCGGCGTATGCCTCTAGGTCACCGTCCACCTTTGAAGGAAGTTGAGACAGGAGCTCATGTAAGGACTGAAGCAGAGACCACGTAGGAGTGCAGTCTGCTGGCTCGCCTGCTCACCGGCCTGTGCTGTTAGCCTTCTTATACAGCGCAGGACCTCTTGCCAAGGGAATGGTGTCTCCCACGGTGGACTGGACCCTCCTATATCAGCTAACAACCATGACGATCCCCAGAGACGTGTCCACAGGCCAATGTGACCAGGCCAGTCCCTTATTTGAGGCACGCTTCCCAGGAGACTCTAGGCTGTGTCAAGTTGAGAATTAACGCTGTCAGCTTTCTTGACCTCCAAGTCTCCTTCCTTCTATGCTCACACTGCAGCTCTATGATGGTGGCTGTACTAGTACTTTCCAGTTGCTGTGATAAAACACCATTGTTGGGGACCGGCTGGTCCTAGGCTTTCCCTGGGGCCCTGAGGTATGGAGAAGGAATGTACTTCCTTGTCTTACCCCAAGAACATGCTGGGAAAATCCAGTAATAGCCTGGATCTGGGTTCTTGGGGAAGCTGTGACTTCAGAACTTGGGAACCCAGCTATGCCCCACCAAGGGGCTGTGGTCACCAGTCCAAGGCCGCTATGTGCTCTCTGTGATACATGTGAGATATCTGTGTTAGTTTTGTGCAGCACTGCCTGGCCAGCTTCCTGCTGTCTTCATCCCTGTGCATGATAGCTTTCTGCTGACTCTCCGATTTCCCCTCTGCAAACCCTACGCAAAATGTTGTGCTTCTTAATAAATTTGCAGGGCATAAGTTACCATCTTATGCAAGACCTCCTGTTTCCATCTTTCCTATCTTCTTTTTCCTCATTCCTGGTCCTTCCTCTCATGATCCTGCACTGAAGCCTGCAGGTCCATGACACACCATGACCAGGGCAACAGAAAAGAAAGGATTCATTTGGGGCTACTGTCCTAGAGGGTTGAGTCCATGGACAGAAAAGCATGGCAGATGCAGCAGGCTAGAACAGGATGCTCCAAGCAGGAAGCAGAGAGAACAAACTCAGAATAAGGTACCACCTTAGACGCTCAAACCCACCCCCTGTGACACACTTCCTCCAGCGAGGCCACACCTCCTAAGCTGTCCCAAACAGCACTACCAACTGGGTACCGAGTGTTCAAATACCTGAGACAATGGGGGTCATCTCCTTCAGACCACTACAGTGGCCTCTTCAGCGAGACGCCCTTGTGAATTTCAAAGCACATGGTAAGGCAGTGCTACTGAAACCAAGGCCTGAGTTCAGATCTCCATTGCAGCCCTTTATCTAAGTGTGACCACTGTCCCTCTCCTGGACAGGAGGATGGAGAAGGCTGTGGCTCCTGCGTACCAGCTCCTATGGCAAAGCCATGTGCATGTCGATTCATGAGTGCAACAGTGTCGAGAGAGGCAGCAGGGAAAGGAAGTCAGACAGCTCCTGCCTCGGTTTGATAGCTACTGAGGGAAGCAAAGGCATCGTGTGTAGTTCACGCACATGACCCTCACTCAGGGTCAGGACGTGCTGGAGTTCTTCGGGGAGCAGAGCTTGGAGATCCTGGGAGCTCAGGACGCTTGATGAGGCTTCCTGGAGGAGTTTGCTATACGAAGCCAGTGCCGGGCCTGGAGGCAGGAGATGGGTGATGCCTGCAGGAGGCCCTGGGGATGTGGGTGCAGAGACAGCACAGGCGGATGCACCTTGGAACCTGGGGAGGGCTGCCCCAGAAGGAGCTATATGGACTGCAGAGGCCAGGGGCAAGTCATGGAGGACTTCAGTGAAAGAGAGTGCAAGAGTGATTTCCCACTCGTGTGATCAGGCCGGGGTTTCTGTAAGCAAGCAATGCATGAGAGCTGTTCACTGTAATGCCTACCCCCTTGGGAACTGAGGGGTTGTAGATACCCCTCTCCTCACCTCCCGAGGCCTGCATGGCTTCTGAGGCTCTTTTCTCAAAACTCCAGGACAGTCTCTTCCTCCTTCACCTTCTCACCTTTCTGCTGCGCCTCCTGTGCAGCCTGTATCCGAGAATGTGGCGAGGATTGATGACACAGAGACCAGTCGGTTGCGTTAAGAAAACTTTATGCTCCCCAGATCGGCTTAGGAGAACTTCCCAAGAAAAACGCTTCCCTTCAGAAAAAGCTTCTGCCATCCATACACTCACAAATCTCCAACAGAGCTCTCACACACCTCTCCTTCCTTCTGGCTATAACCGTTTTATTTGTTTACTTTGGATTTTTCACATTTGAAGTCAGGGACCATTTTGGGAGTTGGTTTTCTCCATCCACCGTGTGGGTCATGGAGCTCAAACCCAGGTCATCAGTCCTGGTGGCAAGTGTCCTTCCCTGCTGAGTCAGCTTCTGTCCTGAGACAGCTAATTCTGGCGTGTGTTTGATGAGTACAGCCTTTCAAATGATGCTCAGCAGTGAGTGTGACATGTTGGGGAGCTGGGCATGTGGGGTAACACGGGGTCTGGGGCTGCCCCTTCTCTTCCCTCCTCCTGAGCTCTCATCCTTCATACCCAGATTTGTGGTCTCCCACTCCTCAGGATGAATGTCCATCCCCTTCTCCTCACCCCCTCTAGTCCACAAGGAACGTTCTGGTTCCCAGGTGGGCTACTCAGCAAGGTTCTGACCCCTGTGGACAAGGTGGCCTTAGAGTTCTAGCCAGGTCTCCAGAGGGCCTCTGGCTCTGTCCCCTCCCCTCAGGGAGCCAGACTTGCATGGAGAACAGAAACTTGAGGCTAAAGAGGAAGTGGGGGCTTTCAGGTGGTGCTGAGGAGAAATGAGCACACTCTTACTTCACCATGGTTTCCTCCTGGGATTTCTCAGCTTTCCTCACGCTGGTCTTATGAGGCAGGGGACTACAGCATCTCCGTGAGCCTTTCTCTAGTTTCGTTCAGGAGCCTAGACACAAAGCCTGTGGCTGGAGATCCACAGGGCCACGCAGGCCTTGCTCCGTCTCCCTCTTGTCCACGGAGGCCTCTGCTCCCCCAGAAGGTCACCCCCACTGGCTGTGGTTGCTGCCTGGATCCTGCCCTGCCCTGGTCTCCTCTCCTCAGAGCATCCCTACCTCTTTCCCTGCTCCTCATCCCAGCTCAAGAAGAGGACCCATGGCCTGGGAGGCCACACACCTGCTATCCCCCATCCTGCTGGTGCTCCTGGCCTCAGGTGAGGACAGGGGACAAGGGTAGAGGGAAGGAACCAAGGAGAAGATAGGGAAGGTTTGGAGGTGTGCACAAATGATGCTCTGTGCTCGGGAGGGCAGAGCACATGGAGTGTTGTGGCCAGCGGCTGGCTCTAAGCCACATCCAGAGCACAGACAGAAAGAGGGTCGCTCCCTGAGAAGGGCACCCATCTGCTAGCCCTGCCGTGGAGGCTGGGGGCTCTCTGACCTGGAGGGTTTGTCTGTTCTCAGACTCCTGGACCCAGGTTCTTCAAACAGTGGAGGAGGACCAGACCATTTTTGTGAAATGCAAGTATGATTCCAACCAACGCTTAAAGGAGAAGATCTGGTGTCAGAGAACATCAGAAAAAACTTGTAACATCTTAGTGTCGAGTCTAGGCAGAGCTGCTCAGCAACCACGATACTCCATCCGGGACCATCCTGAGTCTAATTTCTTCACTGTCACCCTGACTGCACTGAGGATGAGAGACTCGGGTCTCTATCACTGTGGGATCCCTGAAAACCACAGAAAGATCACTGTTCTCCAAAGCTTCCATCTGGTGGTGTCAAAAGGTGAGCATCCCCCCTTTCTATGTGGCTCTCAGCCTTCCCAAGTCACAGGCTCCAGAGTTGGAGAGGACTCTAGGAACTGCTTCCTGTAGTAGCTGGAAGCTGGAGCACAGGGCAGAAAGCCCCCCCCCTACTCTGCCAAGGCCGCCCGATGATTCAGGACAGAGCCAACCCTATATCCTGGGCTTGCTGGTCTCTGGGCTGTTCTTACCAGTTACTCTTAACTCTGCTGCTGCTTCTGCTGCTGCTGACAGAAATCTGATTATTGAAGGTCCTGATTGCTCCCCCAGCTGCCACAGGCATCCATTCCTGAACATCCTTTGCCTGTAATCCCATCAGGAACCTTCTCTCCAGGGGTAATGGGCTCCATCACATGAGAGAGACCTCAGACCAAATAGAGTGGCCACTGAGAGAGGTGACTGAGATGGGACAGCCAGAAAGAGGCTCCCGGGGGGACTTAGTGGGGATGTTGGGAGATGTGGGCCCTTGTTCCGGATCTGCTCTTGAAGACTGAGAAGCCCTGAGCCCTGGGAAGGCGGCCCAGAGGCTGCTGCTGCTGACTTGGTCTTCCATGTCTCTCATGCTGAAGCCTGCGATGGTGGAAGTTTTTCTGAGTTAGTCTGTCACGTTCATATGCTCACAGATTAACTGCTCCCCCCAGTACTTCTGCAGAGCACAGCCGGCCCTTGGGTTCAATGGGTGCCTGGAGTTATTTTCAGGAAAGCTTTGGCCCAGTCACACTCCACGCAGGGGAGGCATTAAGTGCGGCCTTTATGTGTTAAAATACGGGGGAGAGGACTCAGCCAGTAAAATGATTGCCCTGTGTGATGGCTTTAGTTGTCAATGTGGCAGAGCCTAGAATCACCATGGAGACAAGCCTCTGGCCACACCTGTAAGGGAGAATCTTAGCTCGAGGTGGGAAGGCCATTCTAAAGGTGGGCGGCACCATTCCCTAGCTCGGGGTCCTGCACTCAGTATAAAAGGGAGAGTGGCCTGAGCACATGCCTTGCCCCCCACTCCCTGGCTGGTTCCGGTTTCTGTTGCGCTGACTTCCTTGCTACGATGAGCAATACTCTGAACTGTGTGCCACAACAGACTCTCTCTCCCATAAGCTGCTTTTGACACAGTTTTATAAATCACAAATATGGAAAACTTTCCTGAGACAGTGTGCGAGCTCCATTTGCAAACGCACATTAAAGAAAAGGCTGGGCATAGAGGCACACGCTTGCAATCCCAGCACTGGGGAGTGGGGACAGGAGTGACAAGGTCCGGGTCAGTGAGAAACCCAGTCTCAAAAATTACATAAAATGAATTACATCTGAGTAGAGATATCTAAAATTGACTTTTAGCCTCACATGCACACACACATGCACACATGCACACATACACATACATACACACATGTACACGCACACATGCATACATACACATGCACACACATGCACACATACATATACACACATACATATGCACACACATGCATATATGAACATGTACACATACACATGCACATATACACATGCACACACACATGAACATGTACACATACACACATATACCCATGCACATGTGTACCTGCATACACACAAACATGCATATACATTTTAAAAAGAACACTGCAAGCTTGACAGATTGCTCAGGCTTGATTAGAGTGCCTGCTGCTCTTAACAGAGGACCTGAGTTCGGATCCCAGCCCCCTCTTCAGGTGGCTCACAACAGCCTGACTCGAGCTCCAGAGGATCTGACACCACTGGTCTCCACGGGCACTGCACTCGCACGCACAGACACATAATGAAAACTAATAAAAATTTAAAAGGAAAGAACACAGGAAGCAGGGGAGGCCCCGGAACATGTGAGGCTTCATTTATGTCACGTGCACTGTGGCTTTTCTCAGGACTTGAGCCCAACCCCATTCACAGCCGGGCGTCGCCTTTCTGTGCAGGGCAGCATCCTCTCTTGCTGGCTCCAGGGCCATGTGTGGGTTCCTCCTCTTCCAGGGCTGGAGACTGGGGTGCTGGGGGCATGAAAAGACAGATGCTGTGCTCATTAGGTCTCTTACAGCTGCAGCCCCACGCACAACTCCCTGGATGACAACAGCCCTGGCCTCTGCTGTCAGCCCTGTCGTTGACAGGTACGGTGTGTTTTCTCCCGCTCTCCTGACTATAGCTTCTGATAGACTCACAGCTTTCACAGGATGGATAGAGTCAGATGATCACTCTGATCATTTTATATAGGCCTCAGCTTTCCCTTCTGCAAAATGAGATCACAGTAATGTTCCCATATTTGTCTATTACCTATCATCTATCTATCCTTCTATCTCTTATTTATCATCTATTTATATCCATATATCAATCATCCATCTATATATCATCTATATTCCTATCTAACTGTCTATCCATCATCTATCAATCTATCATTTGCCTATCATCAATTTTCTATCATCTATGTATCTATATCTATGTATGTATTGTATCCATCATCTATCATCTGTATCTATCAATGTGTCTATCATACATATATATACATATATATATCATCTGCCTACCTAGCTATCTATCTATTATCTATCATCTATCTATCTATTATCTATCTATCTATTATCTATCATCTATCTATTATCTATCATCTATCTATTATCTATCATCTATCTATTATCTATCATCTATCTATCTATTATCTATCTATCTATCTTGTATGGTGAAGACCAAACCTGAGACCTCACATTTTCTATGACTGTGTTGTACTCTTGGTCTTAGACCTTCTAATTTGAGATTGTGGTTTCATTTAATAACTTAAGCTGATCTTTAATTTACTCTGTTACACAAGGTAACCTTGAGCTTTTTTCCCTCCTGCCTCACCCTCCTGAGTGATGGGCCTGTGCCACCAACTCAGGCTCTTGATACTTGCCGCTGGCTAAATCTTTGTTACAGGAGGCTGATCTGTGCCTTTTAAGATTTTTAACAGTGCCCTTGGCCATGCAATGGCCAGTAGCACAAAAGTCTTTCTGAACACACACGTGGCCACTAAAAACATCACCAGACACCCTTGAAGGGTGTGGCTGTCCTCCATTCAGTGCCTCCATCTGCTGGAGTGCAGTGAGGATGGACTGGAGTGCAGTGAGGATGAGGATGGACTGGAGTGCAGTGAGGATGAGGATGCACTGGAGTGCAGTGAGGATGAGGATGGACTGGAGTGCAGTGAGGATGAGGATGCACTGGAGTGCAGTGAGGATGAGGATGGACTGGAGTGCAGTGAGGATGAGGATGCACTGGAGTGCAGTGAGGATGAGGATGGACTGGAGTGCAGTGAGGATGAGGATGGACTGGAGTGCAGTGAGGATGAGGATGGACTGGAGTGCAGTGAGGATGAGGATGGACTGGAGTGCAGTGAGGATGAGGATGGACTGGAGTGCAGTGAGTATGAAGATGCACTGGAGTGCAATGAGGATGAGGATGCACTGGAGTGCAGTGAGGATGAGGATGGACTGGAGTGCAGTGAGGATGAGGATGCACTGGAGTGCAGTGAGGATGAGGATGCACTGGAGTGCAGTAAGGATGAGGTTGGGCTGTTGTAAGGGGCTGTGTTGAGTCTGGAGGAAGGCAAGGCCTGCAGGTCCTGATCATGGTCTGCAATCTCTCCGTGTCTGCGAGGTGCTTCCAGGGCAGGAAACAGAAAGGGAAAAGGGACAATGGCTTGTGACATTACCAGCATTATCCTATTATGGAGACTGCAGGACCTACAAGGCAGGTCTGTCCACTGCATATTGAAGTTGCCCCCGCCCAGCTGAGCAGGGGACCCCAGCGGAGGTGGACCTGTGGGAATTGCAGGACTGGGGAGGGAAGGTTTTCTGGCAGGCAGTGTTCTGGGCTCTGGCTCTCCTCACTCTGAGAATCTTTGTTCTAAAGTCCTCCAGATGACTGGATGTGGAAGGTCACCGTTGCTGGTGTGGCAGTGGCTATCCTGCTGCTTCTCGGACTTGTCGTCCTTGTGGTCCTGTACCTCAGGAATGCACGAGGAAAAGCTCAAAAAGGTGAGTCCATGATGTTTGCTTTCCTGCCAAGGAAACTGACCTGAAATGTGTCCAAGCGGCTCCCTTCTCCTTCACGAGGAGGCAGGCCTGGTGACCCAATGTGAGGTGGGGGCAGGGGACCAGTGCCACTCAGGTGGGCTTACCTACAGGCACCCCAGCTCACACCACCAACTTGATAGGATTTGGGATCATGTGGTTTTTTCATCTTCATTTTCTTCTTATTTTATTTCATGTGCATGGATGCTTTGCTGGCACGTATTTCTAGGCACATGCGTGTGTGGTGCCCATCAGATCTCCTGGAACTAGAATCACAGAGTTGTCACCCACCACGTGGGTGCTGGGGATGGAACCCGGGTAATCTTGAATAAGAGCCAGTGCTCTTAACTACTGAACCATGACTCCAGTCCCTACTCTTTTCAACACTATAATTAGGGGCTGGTGAGGTCTATATAAAGAACTTTCTGGTTAATGATGTTGAAGCACACATTGCTGTCATTTTTAAATTTTGTTTTTCTCAGTATGAGGAAGTGCAGAGATGTATATGGGTCAAAAAATACAAAGTATCAACTATGTAGAATGAACCAGTCAAAGGATTTAATGTACAACATGAAGACTATGGGTAAGCATAGGACATCATAGCCTATGTTTTCTCTGAGTGAGTAGCTTGTACCTGCTCCTGCCACAGGAGGGATATAAGTGTGTTTTAACTGTCAACTTCACGCATCTAGAATTAGCTGGCAAGAGAATCTTAACCAAGAATTCGCTATAGCAGGTTAGTCTGAGAGCATGTACACAGAAGGAGGGGTTATCACACTGTTGGTCGATGTGGTAAACCTAGCCCACATTGTCAGACCCATTCCCTCGTCAGGGGGTTGTGACTAGCGTAGGAGCAAAAATTCAGCTGAGAGTGAGCAGTACCTGTTATTTTCTTTGCTTTTGTGGGTGTGGTAGTCTAGGTGCTTGAGTTCTTGCCTCAACTTCCTGAACTGATGGACTGTAACTTGTAATTGTTAGGACATGACCCCTCCCTCTCCTGTGTAACACATGACCCCTCCCTCCCCTCCTGTGTTACACATGACCCCCCCTCCTGTGTTACACATGACCCCTCCCCTCCTGTGTTACACATGACCCCTCCCCTCCTCTCCTGTGTTTCACATGGCCCCTCCCCTCCCTCTCCTGTGTTACACATGACCCCTCCCCTCCCTCTCCTGTGTTACACATGACCCCTCCCCTCCCTCTCCTGTGTTACACATGACCCCTCCCCTCCTGTGTTACACATGACCCCTCCTCTCCTGTGTTACACATGACCCCTCCCTCTACTGTGTCAGGGTTTTGTCACAACAACAGGAATAAAATCAGACCAATTAGTAATTATGAGAGGTCAGATGGATTTATTGTTCTACATTATTGTTTTAGTATATAAATTCAACATCATATAATATGTAATGTATTATATATCCATATATATATATATATACATTTTAAAGTATACACGATAATTTTTCCCCTTTGTGGTACTCAGGACAGTACTGAGGCCCTGGGCATGTTAAACACAGCTCTACACTGAGCTACGCCCTTAGCCCTGCAGTAAGAACTGAGGCCCTGGGCATGTTAAACACAGCTCTACACTGAGCTATGCCCTTAGCCCCACAGTAAGAACTGAGGGTACAGCTCGGTGAGCTACGCCCTTAGCCCTGCAGTAAGAACTGAGGCCCTGGGCATGTTAAACACAGCTCTACACTGAGCTATGCCCTTAGCCCCACAGTAAGAACTGAGGGTACAGCTCGGTTGGTAAAGCACATGCTATGTAAACATGAGGCCCTGAAGCTGACATCCAACACCTGTACAGAAACCGGAGCACCCACTTGTAATAATTCCAGCGTTGGAGAGGTGGAGACAGGCTCGCCAGCTTCACCCAAGGTCCCAGCGAGAGAACAATGTGGGCAGTTCCTGAGGAGCAACACTCAAAATTTTCCTCTGGCTTCTATACATGTACGCGCGCGCGCGCGCGCACGCGCACATACACACACACACACACACACACACACACACACACGAGTCCATGAATGTGCACCCCCACACACTTACAACCTCACACACACACACACACACACACGAGTCCATGAATGTGCACCCCCCACACACTTACAACCTCACACACACACACACACACACCAAAGCAAATGTGGTACAAAGAGAAAATTTGTTTTCCTTTACGTTTTTTTTTTTTTTTTAAGGTTTCTCTGTGCAGAACTCACTGTGTAGACCAGGCTGGCCTCGAATTCAGAGATCCGCCCACCTCTGCTTCCTGAGTGCTGAGATTAAAGGTGTGTGCCACCAACACACAGCTTCCTTCAGGCTCTTAAAGGACATTTTAATCCTTCAGTCTTGAGTTTTTGCACTAATCCCATATGAACTCTGTAACCTTCAAGTGACTTCTGTGTCCTTTCCTGCTTTGTTTTGTCCTCGGTGCCCTCCAGATATTTCTGGGGACAGCAAGGTGAAAATGTGTGGGTCAGTGAGCTCCTGGAGCTTGTGAATATCAATCTTCAGAGCTCTAAAATGTCCTTAGGGAAGAGAGAATTTCAAAATTCTATATGCTTATTTTCCAAGTGCTATGCAATCAGTTTAGTGTGTTGCTGTGACATTTTTAGAAAACAACACAGGGACAGTAAAATGCCCAGACTCTGCACATGTGGTCTCACTGAGCTTTCATTTAGGAGTATGTATGTGTGAGTGTGCACGCAGGGGTGAGTGTGGGAGGGTGTGTTTGTAGGAAATTCGTCATACTGGGGGCTTTTCACGCAAGAAACCAGGAAGCCAACCTCTTACTACACACAAACCCACCAGTGGACAGACTGCACTTAAACCTGATGTTTCCGTATGCAATTTACAGTGGCTGACCTGAAGCTGACCATGACATTGACTGGGTTTTTGCAGAGCGGACATAGGCAGCACAGTCATCGGGCTTCCTAGAACCCTGGGACACCACTCAGTGCTGAGGGCTTGGAAGCTCCACAGACAGTATCCGTCCTTTGGCTAAGCCCTGGCCTCTCCTCCATCAGGGTCTCAGCCTGGTTGGGCCCTGGGAAGTGACTGGGGAATACATGGGAAGTCCCCCACTACCTTTCTGGTTTCTTCACAGTTGAGAACAAATGTCACCACATCTATGAAGACTTTCCAGGTCAGAAGGAGGAAACCACTGTAAGTAGGAACGACTCTCCTCTGGGACCTAGGGAAGCCTAGCTTTCCAGTGTACGTGCGTCCTTGTGAAACATGCTTTCCTGTGTGTGTGCGTCCTTGTGAAACATGCTTTCCTGTGTGTGTCCTTGTGAACTTTGGTCTGCATTCAGTTTCTGTTTAGTCTAAGTAGTGGCACACACTACTAGGTGGCTTGGGTAGCTGTGTGTCACCAGCAGCCCGAGACTTGCGGTACGAAAGATGCACAGAATTAGAAGGCTCCAAAGCCACCTAACTGGTCCCTCTGTATAATGCTAGAATCGATTCCGTGAACAAGCCCCTTCTAACTCAAGCCTATTCCAGCTTGGAGGTGCATAGGATTCACCTGGAGAACTTGTTTCTTGAAGTTTCTTGAAGGGTATGGTGGTGTAGGATGGTAATCCCAGCATTTATGAGACTGAAAATTAGGATGGTCTCCAATTTCAAGCCAGCCTGGGCAACATAACGAGACCCAGTCTCAGAAACACCAGGACTGGGGGCTGTAACTCAGTGGTCGTCTTTGCTGCACATATGCAAGACTCTGTGCTCCATCCCTAATGTTGAAAATATGCAAATTAGTGCCTCTTGGTCCCTGCCCCCAGGGTCTTTGCTTTCATGGATTTGGAGTGTAGCTTGTTTCCAGTTTGGAAAGGAGCCTAGGGAGACCAGGCCTTCTCAGCTCAGTGGAGGGAAAGGCCACCTTCCCAGCCACCCCTTCCCAGAGGCTCTGCAGGCCAACTGTCACATCCCATTTCTTTGTAAAGAAAGGTTCATTTATTCTTATGTTTGTGAGTGTTTTGCCTAAATGTATGTGCACCGTGTGTATGCAGTGCTTGAGGTGGTTAGAAAAGGGAATCAGATCCCCTGGGAGACAGTTGTGAGCTGCCGTGTCGGCGCTGGGAACTGAACCCAGGTCCTCTGGAAAAGCAGCCGGTGCTCTCAACCACTGAGCCACCTCTCCGGCCTGTGTTCTGCATCTTAAACTCCAACCCTGTTCCTCTGCCCTGTCCGGGTCACTGGTCACCCCAGCTGCTATTCTTTCAATACTCACCTGATTCTTTGATTCTCAGGACTTCAATCAGCAGATCCTCCCCAGCGAGGACACGGAGAGCATCTGCTATGCTTCCCTCATCCACCTCAACCACGTGAGCCCTCAGGACTCCATCTCTAGCAACACCCAGCACTACCTGAAGCCGTCGCCTGACCCCCTTCTGTCTGTGGAATATGCTAGCATCTCTAGAAGTGGACTCCAGTCTTCCAAGGCCACTGCCTTGGAGGTGGAGCCTGGGAACTGAGGGCTGAGGTTATGTCCCAGCAGAGGGGCAACGTCCTGCAGCACAGATGGTTCAGACCATTGGGGCCACACTTTCCTCAAGGAAGATGACCCAGAGTACAATGGAGAGGGCCTGCAGACCCCTGGCCTCTCCCCTCTGGAGGCCTAGGACCCCTGCCCCTAGGACAGTCTGCATGGATAGAGACCTCGGCCAGTGTCTCTCAGTGACGCTAGCCTCCCTTCCTTTGGTGACCGCCACTTCCTCCCTCAGTGGCTCTTGAAATCCAGGCAGATTGTGTAAGTTCCCCCAGGAACTCTAAGTCAGCTGGGGGGTTCTGGCCAACCCCCAGCTCCTCCCCACACCAGCCTGGCTCCTGTTTCTAAAATCATCCTGCTCCGGGAACTCTGGCGACCTTGCCGGGAAGAATTCTAAGATGTGGGCAGCGCCCATCCCTGGCCTGTCTTCTGAGGCATTTCCAACCACAGCAGAACCAGGGAGCTTTCTTACCAGACCAGCCACATGTCTCTGTCAGAGCATATCCGGGTCCTCTGCCGGGACCTCCGTTCTCTCTGCTGACTGTGTCTAACTGCACCATCTATGCCACATCCACCTTCCAGGATCCTGGCACTGATGATGCCGTCTGTCCTCAGCTCAAGGCTCCAGGCAGACAGACTGCTCACCCGTGTGAGGCAGGCACTCAGACCGAGGGAGGCAGGGCCCAGGCAGGAAGGAGTGGGACACTGTGAGGGTGGCCCTGCTCCTGGGGACCCTGCCTCACCCTGCCTGCTCACATCCTCCTCCTGCAACACAGATCTGGCTGGGAAAGGCTGGGTGATTACTACCCCTCACGGGAGTCCAACTGAGTCTTTGCTAACAGCACCTGACCTGTGGTCCCTCATGACAAGATGGATGCAGCTTACTCTGCTGAGAGGTTCGAGGTGACAATTCCTAATTTGCCAGTGGCTCCAGAGAGGACACCTTGAGTTCCTCCTTCCCGCTCTACACCTGTTACCACTGAAGGCCTGGGGGCCATTCCAGAGCTGTGTCCTTGGGATGGCAGACTCACATCTTGCCTCAGGCAGAAAGCTAGCACCCTGTGCCAAGGGCGTTTGAGGAGAGAAGCGGGTTTCAGTTTCATTTCCCCTTATAAATGAGTGAAGGGTTAGCTGGGCTCACAGTCCAGGCCACATTCCACACAGGCGGGGGAAGTTCTGGCAGCAGGAGCAGGAGGCGCTCTCTCTGTTGCAGCTAACAGTCAAGGAGCAGGCCGCAGTAATTGGTGCTCAGCCTGATTCCTCCTCTTCATTTATTTATTCTTTGACTTTTATTTCTCCCCCTCCCTTGTGTATGCATGTATGTGTGTGTGCATGTGTGCATGTGTGCGTGCGTGCGTGCATGCGTGTGTGTGTGTGTGTGTGCACGTGCACATACAGGTGCCACATGCATACGGGTGTCAGATCCCCTGAATCTGGAGTTATAGGCAGCTGTGAGCCCCACCTTACCTCTGTGCCCCCTACCTGGGTGGTGGAAACTGAGCTTGATTCCTCTGGGAAAGCAAGAGGCACCCTTAACCTCTAAAGCACTCTGAGTCACAGTAGACTCCTCTCCTTCAGTTTTTTTTTTTTTTTTTTTTTTTGGTTTTTCGAGACAGGGTTTCCCTGTGGCTTTGGAGACTGTCCTGGAACTCGCTCGGTAGACCAGGCTGGTCTCGAACTCACAGTGATCTGCCTGCCTCTGCCTCCCGAGTGCTGGGATTAAAGGCGTGTGCCCCCAACGCCCAGCTCTCCTTCAGTTTTTTAAGTCGTGTTTTGCAATGTTCAGACGTTTATACCGCTTTCTACATTTTTTTGCGGTCAGGGAATGGTTTGCCTGCTTTCGGGGTGGGTCTCCCCACTTCCACCAGCCTCCAGATACTCCCCCCAGGCCTGGCGGAGGCTCTTCTCCTGGGTGATACCATCTCAGAGCAGAGCTGCTTCTTGATCTTTTGAGCCCCCAGGAGGCTTTCCGCCCATCCACAGGCCTTCAGGAGCCGTCCCTGAGGGGCTGCCTTCCCTTCCTCTTGCTTGGAAAGCCACAGGTGAAGACTGCATCTTCAACCTCTCCCTTTACTCCCCAGGGTTGTTTAAAGTCACCTCCGGGGAGACACTTTGTTTTGTCACAGCAATGACAACAAAAACTCCAGAGGTTGGGCATGTGGTGCACACCTTCAATCCCAGCACTCAGAGGTGAAGAAGGTGGATCTCTGTGAGTTCAAGACCAGCCTGGCTAACAACCCCGTCAGCCAGGGTTACATAGCCAGACCTTGTCTCAGAACAACAGCAATAACAAAAACATAGCTAAAGACGGATTTGGGGAACAGGCTATGGCGAGAAAGGGCGGCCTTACCCTGCCAGAAGCCGAGACTCACCACAAAGCTGTTAGTGTTTAGCGATGTATTTGGAATGGGAAACCGGCTGAGGCAAATGAGCTGAGAAGAAACAGATGCGGCTCTTGGGGAGGCGTGGGAGGCATGGGGTGTGACAAGCAAACACTCCCAGTCAAGGCTACGCTGACACATCTGTCGTCTACCCATATGGGGGGTTAAAATTAGATTCCTACCTTATGTCTTGCAAAAAAATACATTCCAGATGGAGCAGAAGCCAAATGTGAAGAGCTGAGCAACGGCGCCTCTGGACAGAAGCTGTAAGCATTTACACAAGCCAGGCAGAGTGGCGCACGCCTTTAATCCCAGCACTCAGAAGGCAGAAGCAGGCGGATCTCTGTGAGTTCGAGGCCAGCCTGGTCTACATAGAGCTCTGGGACAGCCAGGGCTACATCGAGAGAATCTCTGTCAAAACAAAATAGTAGAAGGGTTTGTATGGATTCAGGGTGGAAGAAGATTTCTTACAAGTCATCAAAGGCACAAACCATCAGTCGTATGTTTGGCTTTATCAACACTAAATCCTTTGGCACCAAAGGAGATTCCATTAACACAGCTGCGGTATGAGCTGTAGACAAAGCAGGATCCACAGCGCACATAGCTGGGGAGACATCACTAGCCCAAATCAAAGGACATGGCTTTCAAACTCATAAGAAGGAGGGCGAGACGACTTAGTGGGGAAGCCTGGCCACCTGAGTTTAGTCCGGAGCCTAAGCAAAATGAAAGACCCCGAATTTATAGAAATAAAATATAAGCTTAAACAGGGAGGGCACCCCACTAGAGAACTTGGGAAGTGAACAAAGGACCCCATCCTAGGAACTGGCCATACCACAGAATGGAATGTATGGTTTAGCAACCTTAATTGCAGAAGGGCTGTAAACCCACAAAAGGCCAATTCCAGGCTACCGACAACCTGTGAAGAACTGACCAGGGCGTCAGAGATGGGCAAACAAGATTTGTGGGAACCACCATTTACTTAGGGAGAGATGATTAACTCATACCAAGGTTTGAGGAATTTACAACATGTATGTCAGGAAGACATCTACTTCCCCTGGTCAGTAGTCACGTACCCCCCCCCCCCGTCACAAGATAGGGACCCCTCCCAAAGGCTTGTGGTTTTTGTCTTTAAAAGCTGATTGTAACTGAACCTCGGGGCCAATCGGTCTAAAAGCTAACCGAGAGACCCATCTGCAGATGCCTAATTAAAGCCTCTTGCATGTTGCATCAATTGGCGTGTGGACTCTTGATTCTTGGGGTGACGAACCCAGCTTGGGGACCCCTCCTCAATTCGGGGTACCCCAACAAAAACAAGGATGGATGGAGTGGACTGACTTGACAAAGCAGTCCTCCCACCTACCGCATGTGCCTTGGCTGTCCAGCCCGCAGCCTCCTCCGTGATAACCTGGGGCCAGGCGAGATGCTTCAGTAGGTAAGGCGCCTGCTGCTGAGCCTGAAAACCCGAGTCTGATCCCAAGGACTCACCTAGGGAAGGAGAAGCCAACTCCCACAGGCCTTCCTCTGACCTCAACGTGTGTGCTGTGGCAGCCACATGTGTGTCCCTCCTCATAGCAAAATAAAGTATTTCTTTTCATCGAAAAAGGGACAGATCATTTCAGCTGCAATGGAGGGAAGAGTAACCCTGCAAAGCGGGTATAAGGGAGCATTTGAGGAACACCATACAGTTAATTGCCAGCAACAGTAATCACAAAAGCACGCATCTCAGCCAGAAACATTGGTGCCCACCAGGCTGCCAGAGTCTTCTGATGTAGGGCTGGGATGTGGCCCCATGGCAGGACACTTGTCTGCTATGTTAAAGGTCCTGGATTCAGTCCTCAGGACCATGGTATATATTTACATACACATGATACATATTCACACACGCTTGTTATATATTTACACACATGATGTATATTCACACACATGTTATATATTTATATGCACATGTATATTTACACACATGATGTTTATTCACACACATGTTAAATATTTATACACATGATGTATATTCACACACGTTATATATTTACACATGTTATATGCACATGATATATTTACACACATGTTAAATATTTATATGCGCAGTTGTATATTCGCACACACATGTTATATACTTACACACATGTTATATATTTACACACATGTCGTATACACATGATATATTTACACACATTGCACACATGTTAAATATTTACATGCACGCGTTGTATATTTACACACACGATATATATTTACATATGTTACCTATTTACACATACATGATATATGTTTACCAGGTCCATGGAGATGTACATAAATAATGCACACTTTCTCTCTGTCCTCTCCCTTCCGCACCTCTGCCCTGCCTGCTTCCCATTCTGTTTCCTTCCTTGCTTTCCCCTTCTCTCTTCTCTCCTCCCTTCCTCTCTCCCCATCTCTGTTCCCTGTGGCTCTGGGGATCCAACCCAGTGTCTCACACCTGCTAGTCAGGAGCTCAGTCACTAAGCTATGTCCTGAGTCCTGACTTTACAGTTTTGAATTCTGAAGAGTCCTAATGATCATTATTAAGAATATATATAGTTTCCTCAAATGGTCTTTTTTCATGCAAATCACTTTGAGTCCGCGTGGATATCAGGTTTCTGGTACGTCAATATTTATACAACAGAGAAAACATTTAAACAAGGACATTGAATACAGAAAGATAAAACTCCTCAAACATAGCATCACATATAAAGGGAAGAAAGGTCAGTGTAAACTTCCGCCTTATACCGCATGAGAGAGAAGATGGATTCGGCCATCTTTCTTCTCCTTCATACTCTTCATTTTTAAATATGGGGTTTTACAAAGCCGAGGCTTGGGTAAGCTGCGTATTCTCTGCAGGTTTCTCTATGCGTAATTAAGACACTCTGGTGGGCCAGCCCGGCTCCATTTAAGATCAAAGCCCTTTTGCTACAAGGTCAAAATGAATTTACTCCTGTTTTCTGTAAAACTTGAGTTTAACCAGGTCTTGCCCTATTTTCTGGGATTTGACACATTCCACACCCTATATCATGTACCCATAGCCTGGTGATACGATACTCTGCCTAACAACTTTAAACCTGAGTTTACCCAGGTCTTGCCCTGCTTTCTGGGATCTGGCATCCCACACCCTGTGTCCTGTACCCTATGGCCTGGTGATACGATACTCTGCCTAACAACTTTAAATGTTCAGCCGCGTTCCTACACAACCATGTGCCTACTTTGCTTGCCCTTGGTCCACACTAGGTGCTAGCTAGGATGACTTGCTCCAAGGAACGCCGCAGCAGGCAGGCTGGCACTGGGCTGTGGGGGAGCACTCAAGGGCACAGAAAAAACCCTGAGACCCAAGGTTCCTTCCCCCTGGTCACTGAATACAATGTAGCAGGGATTCAGATGTCTTTAGATACGGGTAATACTGATATATGTTTTATGCTGTCCTGCTTTATTGAAAGGCTGGCTCTGGAGTTGGTCATGGCTCCCCCTTCTCTAGGCCAAATGATGCTTAATTAATTAAAAGTTTCCTGTTTGTCCTATGACAGTTGAGCCACCTCATTTTATGATGGAAAAAAAGAGAGCAAAACAGCCAAAATAAATAAGGACTTTTTCTAAAATATAAGATTTGCAAAACTATT